GGGTGGGGAGCTCCTTTTTCAAGCAACCTTCTATAGAGAGGTTGGGGCTTCCCAGGTGGCTCAGTGGCAAAGAATCCACCTGCCAATGGAGGAGCCCCAGGAGATATGGGTTCAATCCCTGGGTTGGGAAGAGCCCCTGGAGGAGGGCGTGGCAACCCACTCTAGTATTCTTGCCTGGAAAATCCCATGGACAGAGGAGCCTGGCAGGCTGCATCCATGGGGTCACAAAGAGCCAGACACAACTGAGCGGCTGAGCACTCATGCATACACATACAGAGGCTGCTGGCTTCCTAAAAGTTTCCCTTCTTCCCTGTATCCTCAGCTTTGCCTCCCACAATGGGGTTCTCTTGTCCAAGCTTCCTGAGCCTAAGCTCAGAATGTCAAGGCATTGGGCAGTGTCCACATCCCAAGGTCATGAGTAGACTTCCCCCCACCCAAGGAGCACATTTCTCAGGTCATCAGCCCCGTTACTTTTGGAGGACCCTCTCAGATTAGCAGCTGTTCTTCAAGGTCTCTGATCTGTATCCCTACCATCTCAGTTCTTCCTCTTTCCCTTTGTCTTTCTGTTTTCCTGACTCTGGGTGCCTTCTTTCCTGTCCCCTGTCTTCTCTGTCACTAGTGTATCCACTGGAGACAAGGGTTGGGCCTGGGTGCATGGGGGTGGGTAGTGGCCAGACTAGGGGCCCGGGACGTGAGCGCAACTTTCCAAGCTTCTCTTCCAGGCCCCTGTGGTTGGGGAGCTCCAGAGAGGGAGAGATGAGTCAGCGGGCCGCAGAGCAGGGGGGGGTCTGGGTGGGGGTGGGGATGCTGGGGTTCCCCAGGGCCAGGGAGTTTACTGGGACCATGTGGGTCTCTGACTTCTGGTGGATATGGAGGATAAAGGATCAGCAAGTCCCCAAAGTTACCCGCGAGTTTCCTACACTAGTAGGAATTGCAGGCAATAATTTGTAGGACTGACAGTGCCTGCCACATCATCCTTATGTCCAGATTCTTATACTAAGAAGAGTTCCTAAATCCCCTAGATTCCTAGAGCTGTAAGGTTGTGATGATAGACCTGTGTGTGTATATATATGTGATATTTGCCACATATGTAAAAGTGTGTATTGAGAGTCTGTGTGAGTCTCTGTAGGTGACTGGGTCTATAGGCATGTATAGGTGCTAGTGTGTGCATTTTTGTGATTGGAGGTTAGGGTCAGTGTCTTGGTGTGAGCATCATCTGTACAATGTATGTATATATATCAGTGTGTGTCAGTGTGGATGCCTGCAGACTGTATGTATGTTCATAATTCATCACGTGTGCAAGAGCATATCTGAAAGTGATACAGACTCATTATGTTTGTATCAGAGAACGTATTGATCTGTATCTCAGGACTCTGTTCGCTGTTTGCTGGTGACTCTCTCTAGGGTAGCCAAACCCATGACAACAGCAAAAGAAGAGTTAGGAGTCCCTTTGGATTGGGGCTCTCAGAGGAAGCCCAGGGTGGGCAGAAGGTAGTGGGGTGAAGGAAGGACTTCCCTGAGGAGCAGGGAGATAGAAGTCTCCCACTCTCCCAAGGGTCCACTCACCCCACCCCCACCGACCTTTCCAAAAACGAGCTAAAGAAAACTGAGGCAGGTTCCAGATTCAACCCCCTCTAACCTAGAAATCCCACCCTGCTTCTTCTAGGGAAGGGAGGCAGGGAGGGAAGGGAGCGTCCCTGTGGTTCAGCTCGGTCCTGGGGTTGAAAGATCAGAAAGGCACCATCCCACCCCTTCCTTCAGGGGCGTCCATCTCTGGAGCTCAGTGTCTGGGTGGCCATGGGCGGAGGCTGAGGGGCCCCCAGGGTGGTGGGGGGTGGTGGATAGAAACCAGATGCCTAGGGGGTTTATACTGGAAGGACCAGAGCCGCAGCCTCTACCCGCCCCTGCCACATGGCGCCTCTGCCTGGGCTGCCCCACCCCCTGGGAGGCCGGGCTGAGGGAGGCCTGAGAGAGTGGAGGCAGGTCCTTGGTCAGGGCTCCCAGTTGCTGACCCCAGCCCCTGGGGGCGCTGGGAAGGGCGTGCGTGTCTGGGCCCAGGAATAGCAGGGTCTGGACTGCAGGACTGTCTTAAAAAGGGTGTGGAAGAAGTCAGAGCCCAGGGTCCTGGGGAAGGGAGCTGGGAGCTTCAGGCAGCCCCTCTGCTCTGGTTTCAGCACAGACGTTTGGGAGGGGGCTATGTGTCCAGGTATTATCCTACTGGGGTTGACACGTCAGGGGCCCTGGCTCACATCTTCCAGGGACCCTGCTGCTTGCTCTTCCCTAGCACTCCTGCTCCTCCCCCAGTAGGATTAGGGATCCAGATCCCCAAAGGAAGTGAAGAACGCTGACCATACCTGTCTCCCCTTACCCTCCTCAACCCCACACCTCCTCTCCTCCTGCTTCCTTTTCCTTTTCAGTTGCTTCCTTTCCTCCCCAATCTAGTTGGAGCCCCAACCCCTCACTCACCTACCCTCTCTTCTCTGGAGTCTAGACTTTTCTCCTTTGCCTCAATTGCCTGCCTGGTCTAAAAGCGGGATGGCTTTCTGCTGGTGATGCAGTAACTTGCCCAAAGCTTTCCCTTTTCCTCACCAACTTCCGAGCTGGGTTTGGGGAAGGGGGCCCAGAAATCCATCTGGCACCTCAGGCTCAGAAACACCCCCCACCAGGGGGAGACTTCGAGGTCATGGGACACCCCACCACGGGCACTTCCTCTTGGGCAGACGGGTGGGGTGGCCAGTGTAATCATCGGACACAATTATGGACTATTTATACTTCATCCCCGCCCCCCACCTGCCTGGCCGCTTTAACCCTCTGCCTCCGCTGGATCTGGCCAGGCCTCTTGCAGTTCTCCCTGTCCTGTTCTTCCGAAGCCATTGTCTCCTCATCTTTGTTTCTCTGGGCCTATTTCTTTTCCTTTTTACTGTTCTGTGTTGTTGTTGTTGTTTTAAGCCACATTCTGGTCTTGTGTTTTCCTCTCTTCTCTCCCTATTATTTCCCTAGTTTCTCTTCTGATTTTATTGGATTGTTTCATTTGCTCTGTATGCCTCTCAGTCTTTCTGTGTTTCTTCTTTTGCCTTCTTTTCCTTTGTCTGCTAGTCACCTTGCTTCTCTAACCCTCTCCTCAAAAGTTGGGTCTACAGGGTTCTGTTGGAGAAGTCAAATCCTGGGACTGGAAACCCTAACTCCCCCACCATCCTTCCCTAAACATTGACCCTACCTGCTGGTTAAACTGCAGGTAACTCTCCCAGGACTTCCAGCTGCTCCTGCCCCTCCCCAGCTTTGCCTTGAGAAGCTGAGCTGGGAGAGTATGGGGAGCCTGGAGGTGGGCACCCAGGAAGAGCAAGCGAGGGGACTGACTGGGGAATAAGGAGAGTGGGGAAGGACCAGGCTCCATTCCTCTGATGGGCAGGGCTGGCCCGGGGAGAGGGGTGTGTTGGGGAATAACTTGCAAAACAACCTCGGCTGGCTGGGCCCCTCACTGGGAGAGATGCTGGTTCTTCCACTTGGCTGCCCAGTCCTCTCTCTCCCATAAACTTACCTCAGGGTCCAAGTTTCAATTCATAGACTTTTTTGCATTCTCCTCTTCCAACTGGTTGACTTTCTTTTCTTCCCCATTTTGATGAGAAGTCAAAGTTGGGAAGTCCTGCCTAAGCTCTAACTTCAATTCTTCCTGCTTCAGGGGGAATCGATGCGTGACAGTAAGAAAGGGAACCAGGCACCCACTCCCAGGAGAGCATGAGCGCTCATGAGAACTACTCATCAAAGGTTGGAGATTGGATGTGTGTGTGGCCAAGAAGGGCCTAGGGCTGATAACTGGCAAGGAATGATGGTGCCTGGGGTCTGTCTTTGGGGGAAAGGGAATTGATCCAAAGAGGCCAGGCTCAGGCATGGATGAGCTGACCCAGTGACTTCCTACCTCCTACCCTCACTCCTGCCTGCCTTAAATTTTCTCAGATATGCAAGATCTAGCTTCTGCCCCACAAAGGGAGGTAGGCCTAGGTGTCACTTCTCAAGACTGAAACTGAGATACTGGGAGGAAGACTAGGGAGCCCCAAGCCTGTGCCAAGCCCTCCCCACCCTGTCCCTCCCTCCAGGTCTTGCTCTGGAACCTCCCTCCGTGACCCTCAAATATTTGGGCAGCAGAAAGCCTCAACTCCAGAGCACACCCTCCCTCCTGACTTTCACAACACACAGTCTCTCGAGGTGGGTGACTGGGGAAGCAGGCATCTCTGTGGTCAGCTCGGACGTGTGTGGGGGGCGTGCGCGCCTCCAGCCATGTCACTGTGATCATCTGTGTGTGAGTTTGTCTCTGTTCATTCATGACAGTGGCCGTGCCCCAGTGGGGAGCCCGGCGTGCGTGGACGTGCACATGTATTATCGTCCTGTGTTTGTCCATGAGTGTGGATGTCAGTGTGTTCCAGTCTCTCTGTGTGAGTGTCGTCCCCAATCCCCCATCCCCCCCCCTGGATCTCTAATTAGTGGTTTGGGGTTTGTTCCTTTTCCCTCCTGTTCCTTCCCTCAGCGGCAGCAGCGGCGGCGGCAGGAGCAGCAGCAAGAGCAGCAGCAGGAGCAGCCGCCGCCGCCACCAGCGGACCCGCAGCCAGGACTCCGGAGTCAGAGTAGGATTCTAGGATCAGAGCCTGAGTGGGAACAGGAGTGCAGCTGGCCTAGGAGAGGAGCGGAGCCCTCCCTGGACCCTCAGGCGACCCTTGCCAGCACTCCCAGTGCCAGACCTCCAGAGAGGAGAGACTCAAGACACCCAGCCCCTTACCCCCAGGTACAGGACCCTCGGGAGCTCTGTCTGGGAGGGATTCCCACAGCCGCCTATGGGATGGCTGGGGGCAGGGTGTGGGGCACCTGGGCCCACCCTGCATCTGCCCAGACCCTCAGCAACCCCCGGCATGCCCTGACAACTTGCCCTGTCCCTACCCCCTCCTGCTTCCCTGGGAGCCCCGTTTCTCCTCTCCCGCCCAGATCCCTTCTTTGGGGGAGCTCAGCAAATGGAGCAGGAAATTTGGACCCTCTGCCTCCCTCTCTCGCCCTGCTCATTGGATCCGGAGCCTTCTCCGCTGGGAAAGCTGTAATTAGAGGGTGGATCCCTACAGACAGAGAGCAGCCCCCCCACCCCCACCCCCTAGTCCCTTCTAACTTTAGATCTCTTCTCTCCCATTCTCCCATTCTCCCTCCCTCTCCCTCTCCCTCTCTCCGGCTCAGCTCTCTCCATCTGCCTGGCTCCCTGGGACCCGTTCCCCAGCCTCAGGATGGCGTCCTCCCTGCTTGAGGTAACTGCCCCCTCCTTCCCCCAGGACACCAGCCTCGATCTGAATGGTCCTAATCCCTGTCCACTCCCACCTTCTAACTCACACAGACAGTTGCTGTGGTGCTTGTCACTTCCAGGGGTCAGAGGAGGGGTGAGGGGCAGGGGGCAGGAGAAAGGGGAGGAGAGAGAGCAGGGCAAAGGGTCACGGAGCAGTCAGAGGAGGACAGAGGGGATTAGGCTAGAAGAAGGCATGGACCCCTAAGGTCAGCCAAGCACACCAACTCAGGAGAGGACGAGGGATGGAGAGAGGAAGGGGAGGGGAGTGAAGAGAGAGGAGAGGGAGAGATAAACTGGTAGGCGACAGGGGGAGGGAAATAGGCCAGAGGACTGCCTGAGCGGGCACCGGGTAACAGTGAGTACATGGTTCTTTGGGGGTCCTGGCTCTCGGGACTCACCCTAAGCGGTGTCTCGTCTGGTTTGTAGGTGGGGAGGGGGCTGGGCTTCTGGGCCGGTAGCAGAGGAGGTGGGCAATGAGAGAAGGGAGAAGGCAGTCCATGCATGTGGGGGGGCTGACCAGAGGAACTGGGCCCAGGTCTGAGAGGCAACCAAGGAGGAGGGCCAGGGTCTGAGGCCGCCTGCCCGGCTCACAAATATTTAGCTTTCAGCCAAAGACAAACTCAGCTCTATTTTGGGAGTGGGAGGCTCCAGGGCGGACCGGGCCACTTCCCCTCCAGGCTGGGACCCCAGCATCCCTTGCCTCTGGCACTGAGGATGGAGGGAACTAGGGTACCATGGGGGTCAGGGCTTGGGGGCTTAAGAAACTGCTGACTCTGCCAGGGCTCCTGGAGGGACTCATGGCACATCATAGTTGGAAAGGCGGTCTCACAGTCCCTCAGAGACTGTCTGAATGTCCTGAGTTCTCCATGTCTCTGTTACCACCTCTGCTTTCTGGCTCCCTCCATAGGAATTTGGGACCAGAGAGCCCTCCCCAAAGATCAACTCCCATCAGTGGCCTTGACCACTGATTCTTGGGCCCCTCTGAAGGCCCCATGTCTGCTCCCAGTACACTAGCTCAGGTCCAAGCTGACTCATTCAGCCCTGCAGGAGAGGTGTGTGTGAGATGGACCAGGAATCTCTTAACACCTGTGTTCACTGGCCTGCATGTACGTGTCAGAATGTACAGTAGCACACCTGCACGTGTGGCTGGCTTTGTGGGAGCACAGGTGTGCGTGCAAGCTGGGTCACCCGAGTATCTGTTAGTCCAAGTGGGGGATGGTGTGTGTAAGACTGGCGGATAGCGAACCTGTGACTGAGTTTGAGGGAATGGCATGTGAGACAGTGGGGCAGACACCATGACCTACTTGGGGGTCCTCAAGGGCTGTGTCTACCCTCTGCTGCAAGGAAGCAGATTTCTCATCCCACCATCTCCCAGAGAGACACTCGACTGAGCCATCACTGAAACGTTGTGCTTGGTCTTGAGGGGACTAAGGTGCATGGAAATCCTGGGTCCACCCAAGGCAGGGGCCGTGTCAATGGGCATGGGCTTCATGCCAGAGTTGCCAGCGTGGCACTGGTGCCTGCGGGAGTGGCTGGGCCAGAGGTCTGCTGGAAAGACATGGGGTAGCAATTGGCAAAAGGAGCGTGTCCTGGAAACTGGGCTTTCTTGTCCCTCACTCCCTGTAAGCTGGAGATGCCCCTAACACCAAGGCTTCCAGCCTCTGTCTCTTTCACCTATTTTGAGGGGCACCTGGGCCCTCAAGCTTTTTCTTACACCCCCATCAGGAAGTCCTCTTGAACAGTGGGAAGAACTTGGGGGTTCAGAGAGGGAAGCTTGACAGGAGGCTCACCTGGGCTGAGTGAGATTCAGAGGATCAGGGAGGAGGGAGAAATGGGGATGGGGGCTAGTGGGGATGGAGACTTGGAAGCTGGAAGAACTAAACAATTTGGGAGGAGGCTGAAAGTGGACAACTGGAAACTGGGACCTCAGTTGGCCAGTCAGCACTCAGATGTCCAAGTGAGCCTTCCAGTGCCAGGTCAGGGGAAAGAGGGCGGGGTCCCCTCCCTATGTGAGAATGAGAGCTGGGACAGCTCCTTATCTTGATCCTTCTCCAGAGATTTCCCCCTTCAGTACTTAAAGCCTGTTTTGTTGTGGTGGTTGTTGTTTTCAATGGATGTGGGTGGAAGTAGGAGGAAAAACAACTTGAAGGTGGGCTCCAGCCCCTGGCTCCCCCATATGGGGACACAGACACACACATATTTAGAATCCTTAACCAGGATCCTCTCCCTAGTTCTTGGGAGAGCCCAAGCAGCAGGACAAGGAAACTGAGGCTGCAATGAACCTTAGCCAAGTGCCCGGCTCTTGGCCTCCAGAACCTTCTGAGCCGTCTGGTGCCTGGCTCCCCCTTCTCTGCCCCTCTGGGCCCTGGGGCCCTGTGTTCCCCAGGGCGGGGGTCTCCTGTTGGCCTGGGGCTGCTTGCTTTCTCTCACCCCTCCTTCCCGCCCCATGGCTGGGTGGGGTCCCTGGGCTTGGCTGAGGCCCCTGTGGCCACAGTGTGAGGGCCGGGCGGGGGGGACGGCGTCGGCGTTTTTAAAAATAAACCGACCGCAGGGAAACCAACGGAGCCGGGCCAGGCAGGCAGAGGGGGAGGGGGTGGTCAGGGGGGAGAAGGAGGGAGGAGTGGCCTGGTCTGGGGGTTTTCTGGAGCCCAGCACCATGGGGATTTTCTCTTAGGTAGAAAATCTGCCTTCCTCCCCCACCTCCCCCTTTTCTTTCTTCCCCTCCTTTCTTTTCTCTGCTTTCCTGTGCCTTCCTTGCCCAGTCTCTTTCCATCACCTCTCTTTCTTTGTTTATTCTGCTTTCCTCTCTCTCCCTCCTTTTGTCGCTTTTTCCTTCTCTTCTCTTTTGCATCCCTGCCCATTTCTGCCCCTGTGGGCCAGCTCCCGATGTTTTCACTCCCCCCACCCCCAGGGGCTTTGAGGTCAGGTTCTCACCCTACAGGCTCCTCTGCTCTGGTTCTGTGAGTCTCTGCCCCTCTCCTTTGCACAATACGTTTCGACCTTTCCTTTCCACTAGGATTTGCCTCCTGCCCCAGCAGCTGCCCTCCCTTACCCACTCTCCGCTTGGGAGGTGAGAGGCTCCAGGAACACCCTGGCTGGGAAGGATGCAGGGCTTCTGCCATGGCCAGATTTGAGGATGCTTTTGATGGTTCAAATTTGGGAGTCATTGGTGTCATCAGGACCTCAGAAAGAGGTCATTGGGCAGGGAGAACAGCAGGCTTCCATTTGGGAGCAGTGCAAGGCTAGCCATTGCACACATAGCCCTCAGTGCAAGCCTTTAAACCTCAGATCTACCTTTAGGATTGGTGTCACAGGCACATACTGTGCGCTAGGAGCTAGCAGGCTGGCCTGGGAACCCTGGATTCTTGGGTTCTTTTTCAGTTTTACTGGGAAGGTACCAGGTACATTTTTGTTGTTGTTGTTGAGGGCCCCTGTCAAGGGGCTATACAGGGTCAGCTTCTGACTTGTTTTTGGTGGGATTCTCAGTAGTGGATGCCTATGCATGCCAGCCAGAGATCCAGGAGGGCGTCATTTCCTTCTGGGATGTCCCAGAGCTGACTCGAGGAGGAGTACCGTGAGCTCCTGAGGGATGGTGGTCTCAGGGGGGCTTGGTCTGGTAGCAGCAGCACGGTGGGCATGAAGGGCATTCAGTATTCCTAAAAGACCCCTGTGGCCTGCGTCTACACACATTTCTTCTCATTCACTGTGCTGGAGGGGTCTCTATGTGTTAGGGGACACTGAGGCATAGAGGGAGGGGTGTGGCTGTGAGCCACTATCATAGCCAATCCAATTCCCTGCCCTGGAGGGGTGTGAGGATTTCAGCTCTCCAAGCCCTCCCAAAGGGGTACCAGCTGGCTCCACAAAGCAGGAGGTGCCTAATGCCCGCTTGAAAGACATTCTTGCCTCAGCCACAGCCCTGGCTTGGCGGCAACCCTGTTCCCTCTCAATGTCCCAGTGTCTCCGCCGTCGCTTCCTCTTGCTCCCTGGCCCAGGGTCCCTGCCAAGAGAAAGAGATTCCTTACCAGGGACATGAGGACACTGCTTTAGGGTGACTAGGCCACTGCCTTAGTCAGGAGATGAAGCAGAGACAGGAAGTGAATAAGGGGTCAAGCTGGGAAAACCTGGAACGGGGGCAACTACGGTCCCCTAAGACTTTGCTTCTCTCCACGCTCTTTCAGCCTCATCTTTCCTCTCCAAGCCCCCCCACCATGGCCTCTGCTCCCAACCACTTCCAGGGGTCAGGGTCCCTAATACTCACTGCATCCAGGTGCTGCCTTGATCCCTGGCTCTTCTCATAGCTATTTAAGAAGCATCTCCTGTTCCTCAGAGGCCCTTGCACACCCCCAGCATCACAGGGGGTGATGCTTCCTGCCTGCTAGGTTGGGTGTTAGTGGCCCTGTCTTGGTCCTCTGCTCTTTTTCTAGACTATCTGAGCTCTTCCCTTCGTCCCAGTCCTCACTGCCCACCCCTCTCCCTGACCTTCCTCTTCACCTCTTCCTCACCCCTTTGTTCTTCTGTTCTCCAGGTCTCCAGGGTGTGCAGTCCTTCTGCACATCTCCTTCTCTCCCCCTAAGCAATGCTTCTGTTTCCCCACAGGAGGAAGCTCACTATGGCTCCAGCCCCCTGGCCATGTTGACAGCGGCGTGCAGTAAATTTGGCAGCTCCAGCCCTCTGCGGGACTCCACGACACTGGGCAAAGCAGGCACAAAGAAACCATACTCTGTGACCAGTGACCTTTCAGCCTCCAAAACCATGGGGGATGCTTATCCAGCCCCCTTCTCAAGCACCAATGGGCTCCTCTCCCCCCCAGGCAGCCCTCCAGCGCCCACCTCGGGCTATGCCAATGACTACCCTCCCTTTTCCCACTCGTTCCCAGGGCCCACGGGCACCCAGGACCCTGGGCTCCTAGTGCCCAAGGGGCACAGCTCTTCTGACTGCCTGCCCAGCGTCTACACCTCTCTGGACATGGCACACCCCTATGGCTCCTGGTACAAAGCAGGCATCCATGCAGGCATCTCACCGGGCCCAGGCAATGCTCCTACCCCTTGGTGGGACATGCATCCTGGGGGCAACTGGCTCGGTGGTGGGCAGGGCCAGGGTGATGGGCTGCAAGGGACACTGCCTGCAGGCCCTGCTCAGCCTCCACTGAACCCCCAGCTGCCCACCTACCCGTCCGACTTTGCCCCCCTTAATCCAGCCCCCTATCCAGCTCCCCACCTCCTGCAGCCAGGGCCCCAGCATGTCTTGCCCCAGGATGTCTATAAACCTAAGGCAGTGGGCAACAGTGGGCAGCTGGAGGGGAGCGGCGGAGCCAAACCCCCCCGGGGTGCAGGCACAGGGGGCAGTGCTGGCTACGGGGGCAGTGGGGCAGGGCGCTCCTCCTGCGACTGCCCCAACTGCCAGGAGCTGGAGCGCCTAGGCGCCGCCGCGGCCGGGCTGCGGAAGAAGCCTATCCACAGTTGCCACATCCCGGGCTGTGGCAAGGTGTACGGTAAGGCCTCTCATCTGAAGGCCCACTTGCGCTGGCACACGGGCGAGAGGCCTTTCGTCTGCAACTGGCTCTTCTGCGGCAAGAGGTTCACCCGTTCGGACGAGCTGGAGCGCCACGTGCGCACTCACACCCGGGAGAAGAAGTTCACCTGCCTACTCTGCTCCAAGCGCTTTACCCGAAGCGACCACCTGAGCAAACATCAACGCACCCACGGCGAGCCAGGTCCGGGACCCCCAGCCAGCGGCCCCAAGGAGCTGGGGGAGGGCCGCAGCGCCGGCGAAGAGGAGGCCAGTCAGACGCCCAGACCTTCTGCCTCACCTGCACCCCCAGAAAAAGCCCCTGAAGGCAGCCCGGAGCAGAGCAACCTGCTGGAGATCTGAGCCGGGTGGAGGTCTCCAGCCCACCGGAGGCTGCCTTTCCAGCCTCTCTTGGCTCTGTGGACCACTGCTTGCCCCTCACCCCCTTTGCCCCATGCATGTTGCCCTTTACAACTCTATCCATCTCCCCGTCTTCCCACCCATTCTGGGCCTGGGTATCGCCCTGCATGCCTCCTCAGCTTACTTCCTCCCCTTGCCATGAGACCCTTCTGCAAACTCTCATCTCAGGCCGTCACCTGGTGCCTGATCTCTGCACTCAGGGCTTCAGAAGCTCTTTCCTCACCACTGCTCAGTTTTTCTCTCTGCTCTTACCTCACCAACTCACTTCCCCTCCATCTGGGCTCCCAACACTTCATTTCTCCATCTCACTAACTCCTTTATGTGCATCTTTTCTGCCTCCCAAGCTTATTTACCACTATTCCTTAGCTTTCGGGCTCCAGTCTTCTCAACTTTGTAGTCCACTGCCTTCTATGCTCCAGAGCGTTTTTTTTACAAACACAGTCATGATGATGATAATGATAATTTATTGCCCCCTGGTGGCCTCTTCATTAGGGACCAGAGTTGGGGGATTGGGGTAAGTGACCTGGCAGGGAGCAGGGTGCCAAGAGGGGGCAGACTGGTGGGGATCTGATCCCAAAGATGGGGTGACCCCAGAGTCAGGGAGGCTGCCCCCAGGCATGTATATTTAACCCCTATGTTCCAAGAGAAATGAATAGTAATAATAATAATTCTATTTATCTAAGTTATGATGACAGGTCAGGTAGAGTGAGCTGGGGAGGGAAGGGGGTCCATTTCTGCTATGGAAATTTTAGCCAAATGCATCTCTGTCTAGAAAAAGTGATAGTGGAGATCTTGTTAATAGAACTTCTATCAGCAGGGTCTCAGTTAATGGTGTTTCTCTTAACGGAATCTCTGCTAATAGAGTGAATTAGCTAGATCTCTGTTAATGAGTTGATGGGGTATCTCACAACTAGGGATCCCTAATATTTCCAGCCCTGGCCAGAAGCTGTGAAAACTCAAGCCCTATGGAGGGGAGAACTGGAATGTACTCCAGATTCCTTGACCCCCGAGCAGGTTCTTCCACTGCCCCTCCTGACACCATGACCCCATTAGGCTAATCCCTTGTTGCCATCTTTAACAGAGCTTGCAGCTGCCATCTTAGACATGCTCTTTGGGGAAGCCCATCTAACCCAAGGAGGACATTAGTTTGGAGGTGTCTCTCCTGGAGAAAAGGCGGGGAAGGCTTCCTCTGGGATCAGATCAAGAAAACCGAGTATTTGTTGAGTGCCTACTTGTGCGAGGCACTGTGATAGGCTGGTGCCCAGAAGTCATGAGAAAGAAGAATTTATAGACCTAGGACAGAGGTCCCCAAGCTGACTTGGGGTTGCATCCACAGGCCGGCAACCTGGGACTTCCGATGCTCCCAACTCCACCTCCAGTGACTTTTAAAGCCGCTTCGTGCCTTTGAATGCCTTTCCTGTGACTTTGGATCCTCCTTTTCTATTTCTTGCTCCCTCAAGGCCCCAAGTTACAGGGTTAAAGCCGCCGGAGCTTGGGGAGAGGGTAATATTGTGGAAGGGAAGGGATCAAGCCCTCATGGAGTCTTTTTTTTTTTTTTAATTTAATAAATAAAAGTTTGATTTTAAATTTTGTCATGCTGAGAAAAGAGGAAAAGGAGGGGAGAAAGGTGAGCCACAAGATTTCTCCTTGGCAACCCGGGGAGTCACCAGGGGCATCGTGTCGTGCCTGTTTGCACGTTACGCCCGGGACTTCGGCTGTCCGGCCTTGCGGTGGTGGTCAGTTTTTGACGGCCCAGAGCTCTCTGCGGAGTTGGGAAGGCAAAGAGGTTTCTTCCGCGGCTCTTCCTCGGGCTCGGCACCAGCGGACCTGGCCCGGCAATAGCCGGGACGCGCGCGGGCCCCGTGCGGACTATCGCGCTGCCAAGAGCCCGACGCGGTGCGGCTCCCGCGGGCGGACCCGCCTGGCACGTAACCCGTCCCCGGCCCGGGGCCTGCAATCAGTCGTGCCCGCCACGGAGTTAGAGGCGGAACAAAAGGCACTCTGTGGCGTTCAGCCCCCATCCACAATAGGGCTTTGTGCGGCCCCCGCCCCCTAGGGCTCCCCGGCCAGGAAGAGGGGCTCACCCGCAGCTCCCCCGGCCTGGGCCCGACTGCGGGCGGCGCCCCAGTCCGCCGGTACCCCTCGGGGGCTCGGGAGAGGCCAGCCGCGCTGCAGCGGGGAGGGGTCGGCGTGTCCCAGGAGGCGATTCGGCCGAGCTCGAGCTGCCGGCCCCCTTCCCACCCCGCCCCCGTCCAGGTGCGAAATCTCATGCCCTCGGGCGGGGCGCGGGTCTTCAAAGGCGCTTTGAAGAAGGATCGGAGTTCCGAGGACTCTCCCGCGGGCCGGGGGCCGCGGCGGAAGGGAGGCTGTAAAGGGGCGGGGGACGCTGAGGCTCGCGGCGGCGAGAGGGGGCGGCCCGAAGTGGACCCCCGGGCTCGGCGCTACCCCGCTGGGCCGGCTCCCCGGGACCCCCCAGGGCCTGGCCTTCTCGCCTGCCGGTCTCCGCCTGTCCGGTGCCAGCTCCCGCCCGCCGCAGCCTCGCGGTCGTCCCCTCCCCGGCCCCTCGGCCCCTTTCATCTTCCCTAGACTCCGCTTGGGGTTTTGCTGGTTTCTGGGAGATAAAAACCGCCTCAAATAGCGGCGGCGCACTGCCAGGACAAACAGGGCCGGGCGGGCCATGTGCGCCTGGTTACCGGCCCCGGGCCGGGGCGCCGGGCTTCGGCGGGCCCGGGGAAGGGGCGGCGGGCCAAGGTCCAGGCACCCAGACTCCCGTGATGCCTCCCGCCTCTCAAAGTAGGGGGCCCACTTTAGAAGTTTCGGGCAGCGGCCGGGGCGCTGCCTCGGTTTCCCGCCCAGGTCTTAAGGAGGGGCCGGCGTGGAGACCGCCTGCTGAGTGCTCTGCGCCCCCGGGACTGTGGGTCTCAGTCACTGTCGCCGGGGCCACCGCGCCCCCTGGTGAAATTAGTGGAGAGTGCGCTAGGCCCGGACGAGCCTCCCAAGACTGCAAATTGTGAAAAATCATTCAACAAACGTTAAATAAGCTCTATGGGCTTTCCTGGTGGCTCAGACGGTAAAGAATCCGCCTGTAATGCGGGAGACAAGGGTTCGATCCCTGGATTAGGACGATCCACTCCAGTATTATTGCCAGGAGAATCCCCGTGGACAGAGGAGCCTGCCCGACTACAGTCCATGGGGTCACAAAGAGTCGGACACGGCTGAGCAACTTAAGCACACACAGGGGAGATGGTGACTGTGTGAATACACAGAGCTCCGTTCCTTCTCTCTAGGTCACATGACTGGTAAGAGGCAGGCACCTAACTGATAATTACAAGGCAATCTGTTGGTGAAAATCAGGCTTCATTGAAGGGAGGGTGGAAGTTGCAGGCCCAGGCCGTAGTGAGTTTGGGGGGTTGGATGGTGCCAAGGTTAAGATACAATGAAAATGTTTGTGGGTGGGACTTCCCTGGTGGTCCAGAGGTTAAGAATCTGCCTGGCAGTGTAGGGGACACAGGATCCATCCCTGGTGCAGGAAGATTCCACATGCAGTAGAGCAACTAAGCCCCGTGTTGCCCCAACTCTGAGCCAGTACTCTAGAGCCTGTGTTCCCCAACAGTAGAAGCAATGGCAATGAGCATCCCAAACACAAGGAAAGAGTAACTGCGGCTGCCAGCAACTTGATAAAGCCCTCACACAGCAAGGAAGACCTGGTGCAGGCAGAAATAAATTAATTAATTAAAAAAACTTTGTGAGTGGCATCTCACTCCTCTCCACAGATCTGTCACAGTCACAGACTCCCACTTTTCCATCAATCCTATACCGCTTTCCTGTCTCACGAAGTGCTTTCTCAGACGATTTCTCCAAACCACCCCCAGTTTTTATATTCTGCTCTTTTACGCTCTCTGTGACTTCCCAGGCAACAGTGAACTAATAGGCGGAGAGGTTACTCAAAGTGTTGTCTGTGCTGTATCACCTGGGGACTTTTTGGAACTACAGCTTCAGAGCTCCACCCCAGAATTTGTATTTTAACAAGATTCTCAGATGAGTCCTATGTTTATTAACCTTCTGGACCCCTTGGTTTTCTGACTCGGGGTATAGCGCTCAAGGGGAACTTTTCATGTAGAAAGAAAGGGCAGACACGACAAAATATTAAAGCAGATGCCAAAAAATAAAAATAAAAATAAAGCAGAACGCCTCTCCAATGAGGCTGGTTGCTCTTGGGAGTGGGGACTATGCCACATACAGTTCTGTGTGCCCAGAGCCTGGTCCTTGGAATTGGTGTCTGAGTGTGTGTGTGTGTGTGTGTGTGTGTGTGTGCGCGCGTGTGTGTGTGTGAGCGTGCGCTCAGTCGTGTCCCTCTCTTTTTGACACCATGGGCTGTAGCCCACCAGGTTCCCTTGTCCATGGAATTTTCCAGGCAAGAATACTGGAGTAGGTTGCCATTTTCTTCACGAGGGGATATTCCCCACCCAGGGATCAAACTCTTGTCTCCTGCATCTCCTGCAGGGGGTTTCTTTATCACTGTGCCACCTGGGAAGCCCTGGAATTGCTTATTAATACTTGTTAAATGAATGAACCAATGTTCAGAGTCACCTAGTTTGTGGCAGAATTAGGGCTATTTATCTCCTGTATCTGCTTAGTGCTTTATAATTTATTAAATGGCTTTGTTTCCATTTTTTTGTATGGGAAACAACCATGTGTTAGGACCCTCTGCAAGTGAGGGAAGTGAGGCTCAAAGAGTTCAATGATTTTCCAAAGTTACACAGCTGTAAGAAGAGGAGCCTGCAATCTGCATTAGACTCCAATTCTATTAGTAACTCCATTGTTATGAATTAGAATAAGATAAATATCATTTAAAAATTGGAGCGTAGTTGATATACAACATTGTATTAGTTCTAAGTGTACAATTTAGTGATTTGATACTTTTATTTTTTTATACTCCATAAAAGTTATTATAAAGTATTGACTACTTTCCCTGTGCTATATTGGCTACAATATTATGTTTCAAGTGTACAACATAGTGATTTGGCATTTCTATAGATTATACTCCACACAAAGTAATTATAAAATATTGGCTATATTCCTTGGTATTGCTAAGTCATGTTGTGACTCTTTGCAACCCCACGGACTGTAGCCCTCCAGGCTCCTCTGTCCATGGGATTTCCAAGGCAAGAATACTGGAATGGGTTGCCATTTCCCTCTCAAGGGGATCTTCCCTGACCAAGGACTGAACCACAGATTCTTGCCTCTCCTGCTTGGTAGTCGGATTCTTCACCTGCGAAGCCCTGTGTTGACATTACATCCGTGTAATTTATTTTTTACTTTGTAGTTTGTACCTCTTAATCCCCTTCACCTATTTTTGCCCCTCTCCTTTCCATCTCACTTTTATTCTGAAGTCAGAATTCCCGGTTTTGGTATTTTTAAGGTCCGATCTCCCTGGTGCCTCACTTTCCTTTTGGTAGTATAACAGTACCCATCTCATGGAGTTGTAAAGATTAGTCAAGCACTTATCATAATAAGTGCTCAGGAAATACTAGTTTCCCAACTGTTCCCACTTTTCCTTCCAGGAAGCCTAACCCTGTGGCCTTTACGTTCTGGCGGGCGCAGTACTCTCCCTCCCAAGATCTCCCGCCTGACTTTCCTCCTGCGGGTGAGCGTCCCTCAACTTTCCAGCCAGCTGCCCGTGATAAGAGTCGGTATTTTCCTCTGGGCGATTCACAGTTCTGTTCTGTAAAGGTTTAATTAGGTACTTCCCTGAAAGTGGCTTATTTTGGGCTTTTCGAGTGCTGAGAGTGAGTGGGAGACTATGCTGGGGAATTCAGAACTGGGAAAACAGCAGTCTCACAGGAAACAAAACAAAACAAAACAAAACAAAACAAAACAAAACAAAACAAAACAAAAACCGCTCCAACTTTTAACTAGGAGTCACCCCTGCGGACGTGTCGGCGCCGCTCCCTCTCCCGCCGCTAGACGGCGCGCCAGGACGCCGGAAGTCTATCCCAGAACTGCGCATGCGTCCTTCTTCTCCAGCGCTCTTCCGTTTACTTTCTTTGAGCTTTGCATTGCCGTTTGTCCCAAGCGGCTACCCTTACGCATCCGAATCTAGCCCGGGAACTAAGAGTCGGAGGAGCGGGGCTCTGGGAGTTTGCGGATTCCTCGGGACTGGCAAGATGTGCTCCCTGGGGTTGTTCCCTCCGCCGCCGCCTAGGGGACAAATCACCCTATACGAGCACAATAATGAACTGGTGACAGGCAGTAGCTGTGAGAGGCCGCCTCCCGACTTCCGGGGCCAGGTGGTCGGGGCGAGGAGGGAGGGGACCTTTAGGCATGGGGTGTCGGAGGGTTTGTGGGAGCAGAGGCAGCGTGAGGGGAGGGGGCGCGTTGCGGTCCCCAGACTGGGGGGCGCGTTGCGGTCCCCAGACTGGAGGATTGGAAACAACCTCTCCCAGGGTGGAGAAGAATAGAAGAGATGGAGTGTATTTTAGAGCTGGGATTGGAGGATGAGGGATGCTGAGGAGCTGTGGGGCGGGCCTAGCGGGGATGGAGAGAGTGAGGGCGAATCTAGGGGATGTGACTGTGCAGGAGGACTTCTGAAAAGTTGGAGACGGTATCTGGGACAACTGGGAAGGCCCAACCTGGGGAGTTTTTTCCCCCGAGGTTTTGCTGGCAAGGAAAAGGAAGAGAAATGGACGTTTATTGAGCGTTTGCGTGGAAGAGGCTCTGAGGCAGGTGTTCTCCACAAATGTTTTAATAATGTGATTTAATAATCACAGCATAGCTATGAAATATTCTGGTTTTACCGATAAGGGAAATAAGACTTGTTTCCCCAGTTCCACAAGGGTTTCTTTTGTGGAAATGGGAAACGGGGGTTCAGTAGAGATCTGGGAAGTAGAACTCACTCACTGTCATACCTCTCATTTCTGGCTATAGTGGATCAATCTTCCTGTCCTAAACCTGACTAAGGATCCCTTGAAGACCCCTGGAAGGCTGGACCATGGCACAAGAACTGCCTTCATCCACCACCGGGAGCAAGTGTGGAAGAGATGCATCAACATTTGGTGAGACTTGGCAAAGGGTCTCCTGGGCCAGTGGTCTGCAAATCCTAGAGGCAGTGAGGTCACCACCTCTCTGCCCTGGGCTTCCTGGCTCTCTGTAGCTCAGAGCTGTCTGTCATTCAACACATCAAAGTATCAGTCCTTTCTGTGGAACTTAAGGCTGTGCAACGGTAGTTCGTTTCATCTCCAGTGACTTGCTTTCCTTTCTGGTTTAATTATGTAAACTTGCTCCCTCATGTCATTATCACTTTCTGAGCCTTTACCTGAAGCTCAGAAAGGATAGGTATAAGGTTTCAGTGAATAATCTCATACATGGATCATACATTTTACACGTGTAAGAGTGAAACCTGGATTCAGTTCCTGGCTGTGCTGCTTTTTAGCTGTGTGACCTTGAGCAAGTTACTTAATCACTCTGTCCCTCAATTTCTTCATCTGTAAAATGAAACTTGTTTTACAAGGTTCTAGTGATAATTAAATAAGTAAAACACATGTTAGTCCCTTTAAGAGTTAGCCATTATTAGTATTATCCTCATCATTGTGTCGGAGAAGGCAATGGCAACCCACTGCAGTACTCTTGCCTGGAAAATCCCATGGACGGAGGAGCCTGGTAGGCTACAGTCCATGGGGTTGCTAAGAGTTGGACATGACTGAGCAACATCACTTTTACATTCATACATTGGAGAAGGAAATGGCAACCCACTCCAGTGTTCTTGTCTGGAGAATCCCAGGGACGGGGGAGTCTGGTGGGTTGCCGTCTGTGGGGTCGCACAGAGTCGGACACGACTGAAGCAACTTAGCAGCAGCAGCATCGTTGTAAGTAGGGGTTCAAAGGGTGTGTTCATTTGTAATTTCTTTTTTGTTGTTGTTCATTTGTAATTTCATGAGCTGTTGCCATATAGTCCTCTAAGTTGTACATATTTATAGACCCACCAGCAGTGAGATAACTATGCTCCAATAAAAACCTAAAAATGAAACAAAGCCAAAAAAAGTGTATGAGAGTGCCTGTTTTCTAACACTTGTGCTATCAAACTTTGATATTTGATTTTGCATAACAGTTTCATTTGCATGTCTCCTTGAGTGAAGCTAAACATCAGATCATGGTCTGAAAACCCATTCAGTCCTGGATTCTTTCTCGGGTTTCTGCCTCTGTCGAGCTGCTACTTCTCTTCCTGCTGTCTTTTTTTTTTTTTTTTGGCTGCTCTGGGTTCTAGTTGTGCAGGATCTTACATCTTCGTTGTGGCATTCGAGATCTTTTAGTTGTGCTACTGGATCTAGTTCCCTGACCAGGGATTGAACTCTGGCCCCCTGAATTGGGAGTATGGGGTCTTAGCCACTGAATCACCCGGGAAGTTGCTTCCTGCTGTCTTTTATATGAATAGCTGTGTTTTTTTTAAGTTCTGTTTATTTATTTTATTTTTGGCTGCTCTGAGTCTTCAGCAGCTGTGTGGGAGCTATCTCTAGTTGTGGCAAGCACGGATTACTCTTTGTTGTGGAGTGCTAGGGCTTCTCATTGCAGTGGTTTCTCTTTTCACAGAGCATTGGCCCTAGGCATTCGGACTTCAGTAGTTGTGGTACGCAGGCTTAGTTACTCTGTGGCATGTGGGATCTTCCCACATGGGGTCAGACCTGTGCCCCCACATTGGCACGTGAATTCTTAACCTCTAGACCAGGAGGGAAGCCCCCTCAGTTCAGTCGCTCAGTCGTGTCCAACACTTTGTGACCCCATGGACTACAGCATGCCAGGCTTCCCTGTCCATCACCAACTCCCGGAGCTTGCTCAAACTCAAGTCCATTGAGTTGGTGTTGCCATCCAACCATCTCATCCTCTGTTGTCCCCTTCTCCTCCTGCCTTCAATCTTTCCCAGCATCAGGGTCTTTTCCAATGACTCAGTTCTTCACATCAGGTGGCCAAAGTATTGGAGTTTCAGCTTCAGCATCAGTCCTTCCAGTGAATATTCAGGACTGATTTCCTTCAGGATAGACTGGATGGATCTCCTTGCAGTCCAGGGGACTCTCAGGAGTCTTCTCCAACACCACAGTTCAAAAGCATCAGTTCTTCGGCAGTTAGTCTTCTTTATGATCCAACTCTCATATCCATACATGACTACTGGAAAAACCATAGCTTTGACTAGACAGACCTTTGTGGGCAAAGTAATGTCTCTTTTTTTTATAAGCTGTCTAAGTTTGTCATAGCTTTTCTTCCAAGGAGCAAGCATCTTTTAATTTCATGGCTGCAGTCACCACTGCAGTGATTTTGGACCCCAAAGAAATAGAGTCTGTCACTATTTCCATTGTTTCCCCATCTGTTTGCCATGAAGTGATGGGACAGGATGCCATGATCTTAGTTTTCTGAATGTTGAGTTTTAAACCAGCTTTTTCACTCTTCTCTTTCACTTTCATCAAGAGGCTCTTTAATTTTTCTCTTTCTGCCATAAGGGTGGTGTCATCTGCATATCTGAGGTTATTGATATTTCTCCTGGCAATCTTGATTCCAGCTTGTGCTTCATCCAGCCCTGGATTTTGCATGATATATTCTGCATATAAGTTAAATAAACAGGGTGACAGTACACATCCTTATCATATTCCTTTCCCAACATGGAACCAGTCTGTTGTTCCATGTCCAGTTCTAACGGTTGCTTCTTGACCTGCATACAGATTTCTCAGGAGGCAGGTAAGGTGGTCTGGTATTCCCATCTTTTGAAGAATTTTCCAGTTTTTTGTGATCCACAAAGTAAAAGGCTTTGGCATAGTCAATAAAGCAGAAGTAGATGTTTTTCTGGAACTCTTGCTTTTTCTATAATCCAACAGATGTTGCCAATTTGATCTCTGGTTTCCTTTGCCATTTCTAAATCCAGCTTGAACATCTGGAAGTTCACAGTTCACGTACTGTTGAAGCCTGACTTGGAGAATTTTGAGCATTACTTTGCTAGGATGTGAGATGAGTGTGATTGTGCGGTAGCTTGAACATTCTTTTGCATTGCTTTTCTTGGGATTGGAATGAAAACTGACCTTTTTTAGTCCTGTGGCTACTGCTGAATTTTCCAAATTTGCTGGCATGTTGAGTGCAGCACTTTCTGCCTGGAGAATCCCAAGGTCGGGAGCCTGGTGGGCTGCTGTCTTTGGGGTCGCACAGAGTCGGACACGACTGACATGACTTAGCAGCAGCAGCAGCTGGAATTTCATCACCTCCACTAGCTTTGTTTGTAGTGATGCTTCCTAAAGCCCTCTTAACTTCACATTCCAGGATGTCTGGCTCTAGGTGAGTGATCACACCATCGTAGTTATTTGGGTCACGAAGATCTTTTTTGTATAGTTCTGTGTATTCTTGCCACCTCTTCTTAATATCTTCTGCCTCTGTTAGGTCCATACCATTTCTGTCCTTTATTGTCCCCATCTTTGCATGAAATGTTCCCTTGGTATCTCTAATTTTCTTGAAGAAGAGATTTCTAGTCTTGCCCATTCTATTGCTTTCCTCTATTTCTTTGCATTGATCACTGAGGAAGGCTTTCTTATCTGTCCTTGCTGTTCTTTGGAACTCTGCATTCAAATGGATATATCTTTCCCCTTCTCCCTTACCTTTCATTTCTCTTCTTTTCTCAGCTATTTGTAAGGCCTCCTCAGACAATCATTTTGCCTTTTTGCATTTCTTTTTTTGGGGGATGGTCTTGACCACTGCCTCCTATATAATGTCAAAAACCTCTGTCCATAGTTCTTCAGGCACTCTGTCTATCAGATCTAATCCCTTGAATCTATTTGTCACTTCCACTGTATAATCGTAAGGGATTTGATTTAGGTCATACCTGAATGGTCTAGTGGTTTTCTCTACTTTCTTCAATTTCAGTCTGGATTTTGCAATAAGGAGTTCATGATCTGAGCCACAGTCAGCTCCCGGTCGTGTTTTTGCTGACTGTATAGAGCCTCTCCATCTTTGGCTGCAAAGAATATAATCAGTCTGATTTCAGTATTGATCATCTTGTGATGTACATGTGTAGTCTTCTCTTGTGTTGTTGGAAGAGGGTGTTTGCTATGACCAGTGCGTTCTCTTGGCAAAACTCTGGTAGCCTTTGCCCTGCTTTATTTTGTACTCCAAGGCCAAGTTTGCCTGTTATTCCAGGTATCATTTGACTTCCTACTTTTCATTCCAGTCCCCTTTGATGAAAAGGACATCTTTTTTGGGTGTTAGTTCTAGAAGGTCTTGTAGGTCTTCATAGAACTGTTCAACTTCAGCTTCTTCAGTATTACTGGTTGGGGCATAGACTTGGATTACTGTGATATTGAATGGTTTGCCTTGTAAACGAATAGAGATCATTCTGTCATTTTTGAGATTGCACCCAAGCACTGCATTTTGGACTCTTTTGTTAACTATGAGGGCTACTCCATTTCTTCTAAGGGATTCTTGCCCACAGTAGCAGATAGAATGGTCATCTGAATTAGATTCGCCCATTCCAGTCCATTTTAGTTCACTGATTCCTAAAATGTCAATGTTCACTTTTGCCATCTCCTGTTTGACCACTTCTAGTTTACCTTGATTCATCGACTTAACATTCCAGGTTCCACGTTCTGGAGAATGCAATATTGTTCTTTACAGCATTGGGCTTTACTTTCATCACCAGTCACATTCACAACTGGGCATTGTTTTCGCTTTGACTGCAGGGAAGCCATCTGTTGTCTTTTAAATATTGATGTCCTGAACTGGACTTGCACACACCTTGGTGTTCACTTGTCTGTTCAACACCCTCAGTCAGATATTCTACACACTTCACACTCAGCACGTTCAAAATCAATCTCTTTGTTTTCCTTTCTATGCCAGTGTCTTCGTTGTGTTTTTCATCTCAAGGAATGCCCTTCCTAGTCATATAAGAGTAAGTGGTTTGAATGTAGGCTTTGGGACAGACAGACAGATTGAATCCTGACTCTGCTTTTTCTACCTAGTTCACCTTTGATAATCAACCTTTCACACTCCCTGTTCTCTCATCTAAACATGCAGATGATAACTACCCCTGTTGTGTAGGGTTTTGATAATAGCTAAGTTAGATGTTGAGTGTGAAGCTGTAGCCCAGCCCTGGCATAGTGTAATCAGTGTTGGATGCTATAATTATCATCTAGGTGTTTCCCTTGATATTACTCTTTACCTTACTAATGTCGAATTAGTCCTCCAATCCTGTCCGTTCGACTTCCTCAAGCTCTCAGACCTGTCCTCTTTTCCCAACCCCCAGTGGTTCAGGCCATTTTGACCTTTCTTCTAGATTCCTGAAGTAGCTTCTTAACCTATTTCTTTCTCTCCATTCTTGTCTCCCTCTAATCTGCAGCCAGACTGATCTTTCTAAAATGCCAGTGTGATTAGTTTATTCCTTAACTGAAACTCCTTCATTGACTTTCCATTCATTGTCTTTGGGCAAGTCCTGACTCCTTGATCTGCACACAAAGCCCTGACAGACCTCTGAGCCTTAGTTGTCTCATTGAGGAAATGGGTAGAATGAAAGGACAAGGTAAAGTGTTTGACATATAGTTGCCACTCATTAAATGGAAGTGCTCTTATTTATTTTTTAAATATTTATGTATTACTTACTTGGCTGCACCAGGTCTTTGTTACAGTATGCAGGATCTTACAGTTGCAACATGTGGGATCTAGTTCCCTGACCAGGGATCAAACCTGGGCCCCCTGCATTGGGAGTGTGGAGTCTTAGCCACTGTGCCACCAGGGAAGTCCCTGATCTTATTCTGAGTGTGTGTTTATTGAATGAATGAATGAATGGAGGAACTTAGAGGGGAGAGTGAAGGGATCAAAGCTGTCTAACTCACAGTTCCCTCTCCTCTTCAGGCGTGATGTAGGCCTTTTTGGGGTGCTGAATGAAATTGCAAATTCAGAGGAGGAGGGTAAGTGTCTTTACCTCCAGCCTTCTCTAGTTTTGTGGTTGCCATCTCCCCTCCATATTCCCCGTAATTCATCCCAATACCTGTTGGCCCAGCGCCTTTCCCTTCAGCCCTGTATTCCTGGCCCAGTTGTCTCCACTGGTGCTATCTCCTGTCACCTCTACCTACCCCTCATGCCGCAGAATGGGTGTCCAGATCACTTGTTGGGTGGAAGGGCCTGGAGAGTGCTTGCCCTTGCTCAGCCCTCACCTAGGAGGGTGCCCAGTGAGAGCCCTGTGAACAGTTTAATCATGGCTGCTTCCTCAACCCCACAGTGTTTGAGTGGGTGAAGACGGCATCCAGCTGGGCCCTGGCACTCTGTCGATGGGCCTCCTCCCTCCACGGGTCCCTGTTTCCCCATCTGTCTGTAAGTTTGGCTTCTGCCACTGGCCTTCCCTGCTGCTGCTCCTCCACTCCTACCATTTTCTTTCTTTCTTTTTTTTTTTTTAACTCCTACCATTTTCTGTGCCTTAGGGTCAGGCTGTGATGGGAAGGCAGAGGGTGGGAATGGTCCAGTTCCCTGTGGGAGCTTTGAGGAGATGAGTGCCCTTTGTCCCAGTACATCCTCTGTCTGCTTTATTACAGCTTAGGAGCGAAGATCTGATTGCTGAATTTGCTCAAGTCACAAACTGGTGAGTGCACCAGCTCTGGAGCTTTTGTTGGAAGGAAGTCCTGAACCTTGAGACTTCTTTTGGGGAGAGGGAAAACAAGGCAGAGACTCCTCCCACCCCTTCCCTGACTGTTCCCCATGTTCTCGCTCCTACCTTCCAATAAAGAAAGAAACAAAAAAAAAGAAAGAAACAACAAAAAATGGTAACGGTCTCATGTGGAAGGCAGCCTGAGCTCTGGGCCCAGGTATGGTGAAGTGCAGTTTGGACTCTTCACTCTCACTCCTGCCCCAGGTCCAGCTGCTGCTTGCGGGTCTTTGCATGGCACCCCCACACCAACAAGTTCGCCGTGGCTCTGCTGGATGACTCAGTCCGCGTGTATAATGCCAACAGGTGCGCGTGGCACCCTGGGTGGGCTCTGCCTCCTTAGTCTCCGTCTCTTAGTCCCCACTTTCTTCTCCAGCTCCAGTGCCCGGGGAGTCCTGCAGTTCCTGAGCCCGGTCTGATGGCTCTTTTCAGAACTGGGGTCAGGGAGGCCCCACAACTGGATGCATCCTCTTTCCAAACCCAGCCTTTATCCTATCCTCTGTCCCACCGTACCCCCAGGCCCTGGATGATCTGCTTTCTTCTCTGGATGTCTGTCCTCAGTTACACTCAGGTCCCCTGTACCTCAGTGTCCCTGCTTTGACTCTGTCCCTTCCCATTTCACCCCAGCACTATAGTCCCCTCCCTGAAGCACCGGCTGCAGCGCAATGTGGCGGCCCTGGCCTGGAAGCCCCTCAGTGCCTCTGTCTTGGCTGTGGCCTGCCAGAGCTGCATTCTCATCTGGACTCTGGATCCCACATCCTTGTCTACCCGGTGAGTCCCAGCAGTCTCTTACCTTGGCCCGACACTGTGAGTTGGTGAGGAGGTCTGGGAGGAAAAGTTCTTCGTCCTCACAGCGCTTCCCATGGCTACGGGAGAAGCAGGCCTAAGGCCAGGGTGGAGGTTCTCCGAAGCAATAATCTAGAAAAAGGGACAGAACTAGGGGCTTCTGGGCTTGTGGGGACTGTGCACCTGTGGATCATGAAGTGGAAAAACAGTCTTTTTGAGAGGACTGCCAGATGCAAGTTTAACAGAAGGGAGAAAGGCAATTAATGTAGATATGGGATTAATATGGATTTGAGCTGAAACCAGTGAAAATGGAAAAAGAATCCTCACAAGAACTAACTAAATATAAAACCAGAAACTGGTTCTTTAAATTTTGAATACAGATTTTGGCTCACTTTATTAAGGCAAAAGAGAAAATCAAAGTATACTATTTTCAGAATGGGAAAAGAGAGAGAACCACGAATATGGAAGAAAATAGAGAAGAATTATTAGAGAATATTTTATACATTTAGACCACCACATTTGAAAATCGAAGGAAATGTTTGATTTTCTACCAAATATGTGTTACCAAAATGGATGAGTTGTACCACTAAAAAAGATGCCAGACTGATGATTTTATGGTAGTTTGTCTTAATTGTCAGAGAAAAGATAATCTCCATGTTATTGGAACTAATCCAGATCATAGAAAAATTTGGAAAGCCTCCTGATTTGTTTCTTCCTTTTAATAAACTTTATATGGATGTAATTTTAGATTTTTGGAAAAGCTGCAAAGATAGTACAGAGAGTTTGGCTATACCTTCACACCATTTCCCCCATTGTTAACATCTGATACTACCATGTCACATCTGTCAAAACTAAGAAACTGACATTTGAACGTTGTTATTTTTTTTTTTGAATGTTATTAACTAAACTCTAGACTTTGTTCACATTTCACCAGTTTTCCCATTAATATCCTCTTTCTGTCCCACCCTTGATTTGTTTTTTATAAAGTTAATGTGACCCTAAAACTGAAACCTGACAATAGGTAGTATAAGAAAATATTTGCATACTGATTTTAAAATCCTAAATAAAAGACTACCAAATAGAATCCAAAAACATATTAAAAAAAAAAAAATTTTAACCTAGTGGAATTTTCCAGAAATTAGAAACTGTTTACCATTAGGACATATATTAAAATGATTTATTACATTGGCAAATTAAGGGAGAAAAATGTTTCTATCAATAAATGCCCTTGAATACGCAGACATCCTGCTGAATGCATAAAGTAAATAGGAATACAAAGAGATGACCTAAACATAAAGAATATGTACTCAATATCAGTGGCTGCCATATTAAACTGTGAAATAGGAAATAGTAAAAGTTTTTCCAGTAATGTCAAGATAAAGACAGAGGTATCATTGCCACCATGTTAATCAACAGTAGTTTTGGATGTTCTTGTGAGTGCAGTAAGACAAAAGGAATGTGGTAAAGTCTTGAGAAAGAAGATAAAATTAATTTTTATTTGGAGATATTATTTTACACCTAGATAAAACAAGAGATTCAACTAAAAGAAACCTGTTTAATCTGGTAAGAAATGTAAGTAGTACGGTAATTGGATCCAGGAAACTGAAAAGGTCATAGCTTTCCTTAGTACCAATAAGAAAGTGAAGTCGCTCAGTCGTGTCTGACTCTTTGCAACCCCATGGACTGTAGCCTACCAGGCTCCTCCGTCCATGGGATTTTCCAGGTAAGAATACTGGAGTGGGTTGCCATTTCCTTCTCCAGGAGATCTTCCTGACCCAGGAATTGAACCCGGGTCTCCCACATTGTAGGAGGACGCCTTACCGTCTGAGCCACCAGGGAAGTCAATATTAAACAAAAGCTTAATTAATGGCGGGACATGCTGTATTCCTGGATAGGAAAATTTAATCATAAAGATGTCAAGTGTATTTCCGATTAGCATTCTACTGAATTGTTTGTTTTTGTGAACTGGACAAAATGGTATTTAGAGTTTTTATGAAAGAATAAATGTGGAAGGGTAGCCATGAGAAGTTTGAAAAGGAAGCATATTGAGAGGAGACTTGCCTCTAGGTATTGAAATGTTTTATGAAGTTACAGTAATACAAAGTTATTGTCATAAGATCAGACAAACAGATCAATGTATCACAACATTCAGGAACAGATCTAGGAATTTATGGAAATTTAATATATGATGAATTTGGCTTGCATTGCAATAGACAAGTTCATATTTCTTTTTTTTTTTTAGTGGTTTTGACATAATTGGCTATCCATTTAGAAAATGATAAAGTTTAGCCTTGCTTCACATTTTATATACAAATAAATTCCAAGCTGATAAAAAAACTAAGTGTAAAAATACATAATTAAAAGGACTAGAAAAATATATAGGATTTTTTTTGCGCGTTCAGAATGACAGTATTATTAAAACTGAGATGTTTGATAACATCCATTATTAGCAAGAGTAGGAAAAATGGCATAGTGTGGTACAAACTTTTCTTTTTTAAAAATTATTTTATTTATGTTGGCTGCACTTGGTCTTTGTTGCTGTGCGTGGGCTTTCTCTAGTTGCAGTGAGCAGGCGCTATTCTCTAGTTGCAGTGTGCGGGCTTCTCGTTGCAGTGGCTTCTCTTATTGAGGAGCACAGGCTCTAGGGAGCATAGGCTTCAGTAGTTGCGGCACACAGGCTTAGTCGTTTTGGCTCCTGGGGTCTAGAGCTCTGGCCCAGTAGTTATGGTGCACTGGCCTGTGGAATCTTCACGGACAAGGGATTGGACTGGTGTCCCCTGCATTGTGAGGCAGATTCTTAACCACTGGGTCACCAGGGAAGCCCCACAAACTTTTCATAAAATAATTTGTTGGCATATTTATCTTTTGAAATGTGCAAGTCTTTTTTACCCACAGTTCCATTTTAATACTGTATTCTACACAAATAATGACATGAGTACATAAAGATATAAAGAATACTTTTCCAGTAGTACTTGTAATAAAAAAATCACCAACAACTGAAATGTCTGTGGAGGCACGACTGAATAAATTATAGTTCATCTATTCAGTGGAATACAGTGAGGCCACTGAAAAGAATAAGATGGATCTCTGTAAACTGACGTATTGTAAAATTAAAGAGTAACTTGTAGACTGGTGACCTGAGACCTCATTAGAGGTAAAGGTGGGTATATAGATGGGAGGAAAAGGGACAGAGTAGCCTGCACTTTTTGGGCCAAGTATGTCGCTCTGGAGATTCAGAGCTGACTGACACACCTGGCGTCCTCAGTTAGTTCCCAGCCTAGTCAGGAAGGTCGCCACACACACCATCTTTGATGAGCAGAAAACGAGGCAGAGCACCGAGGAGGGAAGGTAATTGTGATAAGGAAACAGAGACAGGTTTGGGAGCACAGGATGAATTCTGAGGAGTGGCAGGTGACTCTAGAAAGATACGAGATTGGAACTGTGAGGTGATGTCATGGGTTACCCTGGCCTCCAGGCAGGATGGTCCTGTGGAGAGAGGGTTCTCATCTAGAGCAGAGCATGCATCTCCCCAGCCCAGCACCAGCTAGCTTTACTTGTCACAAGTTCTTGTCCCTTTCGGACTTCCCTGGTGGCTCAGTGGTAAAGAATCTGCCTGCCAATGCAGCAGACACGGGTTCGATACCTGATCCAGGAAAATTCCCACATTTTTCAGAGCAGCTAAGCTTGGGAGCCACAACTATTGAGCCTGTGCTCTAGAGCCCAGGAACCACAACTACTGAGCCCACGCGCCCTAGAGCCCATGCTCCGCAACAAGAGAAGCCATTGCAACGAGAAGCCCATGTACTACAACTAGACAAAAAAACCCACACAGCCACAAGGATCCAGCACAGCCAATAAATAAATGAATAATAATAAAATGAAGTTCCTGTCTCTTTCAGGTTTACTCCCTTTCACCCTTTCTGGACCTCCTGGTAGTGACTGCCCTCGCTTCCTTGTTTTCCTTTAACGTCCGTGATTCTTATTGCTGAACTCAGAGGGGCCACAGGGATTGGGCAGTTTTAGGAGGAGGCGGCAGGGATAGAACCACAAGGCTTTCTTCTTGCCTTCTGACCCCACACCGTTCCCCTTCTGCAGACCCTCTTCTGGCTGTGCCCAGGTGCTCTCTCACCCTGGGCACGCACCTGTTACCAGCTTGGCTTGGGCCCCTAGTGGGGGGCGGCTGCTCTCAGCTTCCCCCGTGGACGCTGCCATCCTGGTGAGTTGGTCCCCACGCCTCTTGGGGTCATTTCAGCCACACCCCTCAGACTTGAGGGAAGAGCTGCCTTTGCCTGGTGGTGGGAAGTATGCTAGGGGAGGAGAGTAATAGTTATCCATTCAGTCTTAAACTTATCCAAGGCGCAGCGCCGGCCCTGCTCCTCAGGTGTAAAATTCTGCTCGCTGTTTCCTCCTGTTTCAACCCTTTCCCACTTCCTCCCCTCTCTGGTTCTTTGTACCTCAGGGAAGGGGGTCTGTGGGGTGCTGGGGATACTGTCTCCCTGTCTCACTCTCTCCCCCCCTCTCCTAGGTATGGGATGTCTCAACAGAGACCTGTGTTCCCCTTCCCTGGTTTCGGGGAGGTGGGGTTACAAACTTGCTCTGGTCCCCAGATGGCAGCAAAGTCTTGGCTACCACTCCTTCAGCTGTCTTTCGGTGAGTGGGGAGAGCGGGAGTGGGCAGGAAGGACATGGAGAAAGGCACTAGGCTCCTGGAACTTCCAGCTGCACAGCCTTCTGTCCCCATTCCCATTCCCCTGAACCTGGGACTGACAGGCTGGGAGGTTCGAGCTGTGACACCTGGAACTCTAAGCTGTGGCCTGCTTCTCTCTGGCAGAGTCTGGGAGGCCCAGATGTGGACTTGCGAGCGGTGGCCTACCCTCTCGGGGCGATGCCAGGTAGGAGGGAGTGTATGGTGCAGGAGCTGGGGAGGAGGTTGGCTCTACTTCCCCAGGCGTGTCCCCCTACCTCCACTTCTCTTCCTCCTGTGCGTCCTTCCTGTATTCCCATAGACCACCCTTTTCCTGCCCTTTGCTCCCTGACCCCAGACTGGCTGCTGGAGTCCCAGTGGAAACCGCCTGCTATTCACTGTGTTGGGGGAACCGCTTATTTACTCCTTGTCATTCCCAGAACGTTGTGGTGAGTCAGGGGCAACACTTCCGGATGCACAATAGCTGGGGTAGTCGGAGGGAGGAAAGAGCCCTGTGGAGTATGCTGCTCTGAAGGAAAAAGGGAAGGAAAGCAGCTCGGAAGACTTGAGAGGCGTTGATGCCTGTGATTGAGAGGAGACGGGGCCAGGGGAGGGGGCCCTTTCCTATACCTAAGAGCACCGAGCACCTGCTCTGACCCACAGGCGAGGGAAAGGGCCATGTTGGAGGCGCCAAGTCAGCTACAATAGTGGCAGATCTGTCTGAGACCACCGTACAGACGCCGGACGGCGAGGAGAGGTAAGCTGGGTGGTGAGGAAGGGGCGGAGAGACAAAGCTGGGAGGGACCACGCAGAGCCCCTCAACCTGCTCTTCTGACTTGCAGACTTGGGGGAGAGGCTCACTCCATGGTCTGGGACCCAAGCGGGGAGCGGCTGGCTGTGCTCATGAAAGGTGAGAGGTGGAGAGGAAGGCCTCTGCTGAGGCTGCACCTTCTTCCCATTCATCAAGTGTATCCACGTCCTGGCAGCAGTTCTGCTGTGCCCCTGCCCTGGGATTCGGCCTCCAGAGAGCCTTCCTATCCCTCATCCATCTCTTATAGGCAATCCTCGGGTCCAGAATGGGAAACCAGTCATCCTCCTTTTTCGCACTCGAAACAGCCCCGTGTTTGAGCTACTTCCTTGGTAAGTGCTGGGTTCTTCACTGGCCCTCCCATACCAAACCCACGTCCCATTATACCTGCCTCCTGCCTCCAGCTGCCTGCTCACTTTCTCTTCTTCATCTAGTGGCATTATCCAGGGGGAGCCAGGAGCCCAGGCCCAGCTCATCACTTTCCATCCTTCCTTCAACAAAGGAGCTCTGCTCAGCGTGGTGAGTAGGCCAGCTGCTGGGCTGCAGGAGTGGGAGGAGCTGAGAGCTATGGCTGCTGGGTGGCTCTGACATAAATACCCCTTCTTTGGGCCCAGCCTGATTGACTTTGCTTCCCTCTCTCTCTGCAGTGCTGGTCCACAGGTCGGATCACCCACATCCCTCTGTACTTTGTCAATGCCCAGTTTCCACGCTTTAGCCCAGTGCTTGGCCGAACCCAAGAGCCCCCAGCCGGGGGTGGAGGCTCTATTCATGATCTACCCCTGTTTACTGAGACATCCCCAACCTCTGCCCCTTGGGACCATCTCCCAGGGCCACCCCCTGCTCATCCCCACTCCCCTCACTCCCACTTTCAGTAATAAGTGTCCTTTATTGTTTTCCACTTAATTATGAGACTGTCTTTTCCAGTGACTTGCACTGGGGTACACTGAAGGAAAAAAAAGGCATGGACTTTGGGTTTAGATCTTGGCTCTTTCACTTTTTAGTCACTCCTTGTGAATCTGGTTGTTATTTACCCTTAAGAACTAGATAGTTTTCAAATTATTTGAAAGCAAAACAGAAAATACCTAGCACCAGCTCTGGCACATAATAGATGATGCACTTTCCCCAAATTTAAGCAAGTTCCCAGAATAGTGCAGGGCAGTAATAGAACATTATGTGGTCAGTATGAGATGGAAGAAGTTTTATTGGACTAGGGGATCTTGGGCAGGCGTAGGTGCTGGGCGCTGGGCCAAGGTGGCACGGGCCATGCTCAGGGCGCCCTCTCGGGTACGGTGCCCACCAATGAAGCCGCTGGCATGGACAAAGACGCAGCCAGGAATTCCACTGATCTGGTCCAGGGCCTCATCCCGAAGACCGCGCCATGGCTCTAGCAGGGGCAGCCTATGAGTGAGCAGAAAGAGGGAGTTGGTGGGGGCAAAAGGAGGTCGTGAGGAACTGGGAAGAGGGGGGGAGCAGAGGCCTAGGTTAGTGGCTGCCTCCTCTGATGGGGTTGAAACATGCCTGAAGGGCTGCAGGGTGGACCCCTAGGCCCTCACCTGCTCTGGAACGAATGGGGCTCCTTAGGCACACACTGTACCCGCCACTGTCCAGCCTGGTCTGTGTAGATAACAAAGGCGATGGTCCCTGTGGGGGACAGCCCCGATTCCAGCTGATAGAGGTGCTCCTTCCAGGGACAGCCACCCTTTGCCAGTTCTATTATCTCCCCACTTGGGTCCACCTGAAAAGGAAGTGGAGCCAGGACAGAAGGCTCAGGGTAGAAGCATGAGCCCCAACAGGCCAGCAGCCTGCCAGCACTCACCAACCAGGGCCACAGTGCCTCCTCACAGGCCCATACCTGGAACCTCTTTGCCAGGGCCTCTTCCACCAGGGCTCGGGCTGGCAGCCAGCTGTTCTGGTAGAAATCTAGTCTCTGCAGAAACTCCTCTCGAACCAGGTCCATTGCACGCTTGAACCCAGCCTGGGAATGAGAACCATGGTGCTGGCCCAAACTTCTAACTCTGCTAGGGCTCAACAGGCCAAGACCATTCACTCCCTCCCCTGGTTTTCACACACCTCAGTCTCTTCTCCCCAGGGTCTCCTTACCTCAGTGTCTTGGTTTGGCTGGTTCCAGGTGGGATTAAGCCGAGCAACCCTGGCGCTCAGCGTGGTGGTCAGCAGGTACCGAGGCTCTCCCTCCTCCCATTGGGAAATCCCATTGTCTACTGCATCCACCTCCTCCACGAAGTTCTCATACATCTAAGGCAGCAGTAGGAGAAAGGCTCTGGAGGGCACTGACTATTTGCATAAAGCTTTATAGCTCTCAAAATGTATGCATATACAGTCTTTTATTTTTTTGCATATACAGTCTTTAATCTTCACAAGGATCCTGCAAGGATCTCCCAACATTACTTGGACGAGGAGAAAGGGAATTGGGGAATTCAGCAACTTCCTAAAAGGCAGAGAGCGTACAGCACTGGAGCTGAATTCAGATCACCTGATTTCTGATCCAGTGCTCACTCTACTACAGCTCAAAGCCCAAGCCAAGGCCAGCATATGTGGGGAGGGGGCTGCTGTGTTCTGAACAAGGAAGGTCTTGAGTTCCATGACGGGCTCTGTGGGGTGGATCCTCATGGCTAAGGGAAGGTAAATCTCCAGGTGGGCTGAGCAGGCTATTCACTGATCCACTTAATGAGCTACAGGAGGGTCTGGTCAAGCACACCCATCAAGTGGGAGAAGATGAGTACTAGACATCAAGGGCTTGAATGTGGTCCTGGGGAAGCCCATGATGTGCCACAAGGCATCTCCTGAGCCTAAAGAAATGGTAGGATGCCTCAAGAATCTGGGGGGCAGAAAAGAACCTGGGATATCAGTATTTAACGCAAAATAGCCTTAAAATAGGCCTACATTTAGACACATCTGTGGTATGCAGAAAAAGTGCTACTCAGGGAGAGTTGGAAAAGAAACTCCTCTGTGCCCAGCACCAACTGGTCTGAACCTCCAACCCGAGGCTCAGTTAAAACTTGGGTGTAATTTTAATGCCCAAAACATACAAACAGCTGAGACTTCCTTGGAGGTTCAATGACTGAGATTCTGTTCTTACAATACAAAGGCCCCGGGTTCAATCCCTGGTCAGGGAACTAAGATCCTGCATGCCGCAGCCAAATAAATAAATAATAAATATTAAAAAAACAAAAACCCAAAACCACAAAACAGCTCATATAACTTAACATCAAAAACCAAACAACCCAACTGAAATACAGGCAGAACTGAATATCTTCCCAGAGAAGACATACAGATGGCCAAAAGGCCATCAACATTACTGATTATCAGAAAAATGCAAATTAAAACCACAACTGAGATACTACCTCACACTTGTCAGAATGGCTATCATCAAAAATACCACAAGGAACACATGTTGATGAGGATGCGGAGAAAATGGAACCCTTGTACACTGTTGGTGGGAATGTAAAGTAGTGCAGTCACTGTGGAATACAATATGGAAGCTCCTCAAGAAGTTAAAAATAGAACTATCGTATGACCCAGCAATTCTACTCCTGGGTATTTATCTGAAAAAAACAAATACTAATTCAAAAAGATATATGCACCTCAATGTTCACAGCAGCATTATTTGCAATAGTCAAGATATGAAAGCAACCTAAGTGTCCATCAACAGATGAGTGGATAAAGAAAATATAGTATACAACAGAATGTAACTTAGCCATAAAATGAAAAAAATAATGAAAAATTGCCATTTGCAACAACATGGATAGACTTGTAGAGTATTATATTTAGTAAAATAAGTCACAGAAAGACAAATACTGTATGATATCAGTTATATGTGGCATCTAAAACACTAGTGAATATAACAGAAAAAAACAAACTCACAGACAGAACAAATTAGTGGCTACCATTGGGAAGAGGGAAGAGAGGAGGAGCAAGATGGGGTGGGGTTAAGAGGTACAAACTACTATGTGCTAAATAAATAAGCACATCCCTGGTGATCCAGTGGCTAAGACTCCAAGCTCCCAATGCAGGGGGTCTGGGTTCGATCCCTGGTTGAGGAACTAGGTCCCACATGCCACAACTAAGACCCAGCACAGCCAAAAAAAATAAACATTTAAAAATAAAAAAAGAACAAGCTTAAACAAGCTACAAGAAAATATTTTATAGCACATGGAATATAGCCAATATTCTCTAATAACTATAAGTGGAGTATAATCTTTAAAAATTGTGAATCACTATGTAGTACACCAGAAACATAATAAAACCTTGGGTATAATTTAGTTCAGTTGCTTAGAAACCCCTCGGCAGTAGAAGGGAAAATTGACCCAGGCAGTCTAAAACCTATTCCAGAAGTTCTAACTTAAACATTCAGGGTACTCTTCCTACCCCCTTCTGATGTCTATGTCAGAAGCTTTCTCTATCTCCTTTATACTTTAATAAAACTTTATTACACACACACAAAGAAATAAATAAACATTCACATTTATTCAACTTTTTTGGATCACACTAATGCTGTGTCATAGAGGAGACAGACAAGCCGAGATAGAGAACAACTCAACAGCCCAGCTGCAAAAAACAGAGCTGACTGCATCTGAAGTTTGACTTGTGAACTTCACAGGAGCAGGGTCAAGTAGGTGACCTCAGAATCATGGATCTAACATGCTTGCCAGGGCCACTAGCCCTTGTTGCTTGCCCAACCAAAGGCACCTGAACTGCCTGCAGGAGGCGCTGGTGGAACCTGAAGAGGTTTTCATGATCAAACCCTTTTCAGTTTCTGAACTCGCTGTGCCTTTGAAAACAGCGGTGCCTGAGATACGCTGCCCTCCACCTTCAGGGCAGCCAGCACCTTAGTCACATGCTGCCAAACATAAGCAGCCTGGTCTACTACCAAGCTGTTGAACAATTGTTTTTTATGTATGTCAGGGCATGCTTTACAGTTTTCAAAGCCCTTCCCCATACATGACCTCATCCATGTCTCAACCACCCCAGAATGGAGGCAGGAGAGATTACCCACCCCACTGTGAGAAGATGGGCTTGACTGAGCAAGAGGGTGGTGGGCCAGCACGAGTCAGGAACCCTGACCTGAGTGTGGTCTTGAGTGTCACTCTAGCCCACGTGTTGGAGATGCACGTGACGGGCATGTCTGTCCTTGGGTCCCCACCTTGTCATAGAGGGTGCCCACCATGCCGTCCTCTTCGCTAGTGCCCAGCAACTGGGCCAGCAGCTTGTGCCCGAAGTGCAGATAGATGAGTCCCGCACTGCTCAGCTTGGTCTGCCACGGCTTCCCAGGGGACAGGGAGCTCATGGTCTCTGTGAAAGACCTGAGGAGCACAGGGAGATGGGGCTGACGCCAAACGCCCCAGTTCACCCACAATGTGTGCACGTGCAGGCGCAGCGCGGTGGGGAGGCTGGGGAATACCACGGGAACTGGGAGAAAGCCTGGCTAAGGAGGCTTTGGCTTGTCCTCAGGGGTCAACATGGACTTGAGTTTGGAGTCCCTGTGCATCCACTGGGCTTCCCTGGTGGCTCAGATGTCATTTGACAAGGATTAACTCAGTGCTTACAACATGCCCATACTTTGTTGTAAACATTAGAGATGAAAAAAACTAAGACTCTGTCCCTGCCTTCAAGTTTGTCTTCCTAAGGCGGATGGACAGGGACACATGGCCACACATGGCCACACACACACCCCCATGCACACTGACATGAACAACCAAAGGAATGCTCCAGCTAGTTATAAACAAGGAAAGTGGGAGGGAGAGGAAGGGGCTCAGGAGAAGAACCTTCAGGTCATTCTTGGAAGATGAATTAGTGGGTGTTTGCCAGACACAGAAAGGGGGAAGGAGAAAAGGCATTCCAAGTAGAGGGAACAACATGTATAATGCCTAAGCAAAAGATATCCATGGAACTGCAAGAAAGCAGCTTGGGATGAGGAATGAGAGGCAAAAGATAAAGCAGGAGCTGGACCAGGGCAGGCCTTGAATGTTACTCTTCAGAGTTTGAAGTTTATCTGTAGGTAAGAAGGAGCCACTGAGAGACTTTAAGCAGGCCAGAGCATGTCAGAAAAATCACTGTGCCAGCCAGCATGGAGAAGAGATACAAGATCACCTGCAATGTTCCGGGTTAGTGAGGAAGGCAGGGATTTGAACAGCCTTGGGACAGAGGGTACGGAAATGGTATGATAGTTGTTAGAATAATAGAAACCACAGCTGTAATTTCTAAATACCAGTCCATCAGAATCACCAAGGAAGTGCATTTTTTCGTTCTAATGATCTTTATTATTAAATATTAAGTAAACACAAAAATACCTATAAGATACTCATAAGGTATAAAGACTAATAACAGTAACATCCCAGAAAAGATTCAGGAAGAAGCAAAACTAAATAGTTGATGCAAACAGATAAGACATACATGCTAAACTGTACACAAGAGCAAGCAAGGCCATGATGAATACAAAATTCAGGATGTCACTTACTCTTGGGGAAGTGGGGGATGGGATGGGGAAGAGGCACACAGGTACAGGTGCTAAGGTAATGGTAATGGTCTATTTCCTCCGCTGGGAGATCGGTTCATGGGTGTTCATTTTATGTTTTATATCCCAGATATATTAAATATATTGTTTTACATGTTAAATATGGCACAGTTTTTTTAAAAAGTATATAAAATCATCAGAAAAAAGGAAGCAGTCAATTACATCAAGTGCCACAAACAGGTCAGTTAAGGTGAGAGGGTGAAGGTGACAGGTCAGTTAACCCTCAACCAGCAACCTGAGTCTGGCATTGAGGTCACTGGTGCCCTTTCCATAAGCATTTCCAGTAGAGAGATTGGAAAAGACCCAGTTGAATGAAAGATAGGATGGATAAAAGGAATGAACTGAAAGAAAAGTGGAGCCAGATCAGCTCTTCTTTTGAAGAATGCCTGAGAAGTAAGGGTGAGATTAGGTCGTACGCACCGGGAACATTCCCTCCCCACATCACTTATGAAAAGTAATATGTAAACTTAAATAAAAAAAGAAAGATAGGGAGGGAAGGAGAGAGAGAAAGAGAGAAACAGACTTAAAACCTCCTCATGATACCCCAGAGATAACCACTTTAAACAGCGTGGCGTATGTGAGGGAGGGGGCTTTGGGTTTTTTTCAGTCCCTTGTTTTCAAGATGGGAGATGCGTAAGCAGAGTTGGTTTCTTCAGGCAAGAAGTAGAAATGCTAAGATACGGAGTCCCAGAGCAGGAAGTGATACACTGGAAATGGGGCAAACAGAAGGGTTTCCTGAATTGGAAAGAGGGAGTTGATTCAGGAGTGAGAAACTGACCAAGTACACGCAGGAAAAGCTCAATTTATTTTGAAAGAAAAGACAGCATCACTCACTGAGAAAGTCTGATGAGGCAGGGGCTTGAGGAGCAAGAAAAGATTGGAGAGGTACTGTGGATTCTGCCCTCTCCGAGGACAAGAACCATTTCCCAGGGGTAGAGTGTCAATGACATAGAAGACAACACACACCTGAACTATCACCACCTACCACAATCACGTGGGCCCAGCAGTCTTAGGTAGGGTAGCAAGGGCACATGAATGGATTAGTCCCTGCTGGGGTATTCAGTGGGGTAATGATAAGGCTGGTGGGAAAAAAGCCTGACTGAGCCAAAGAAGGAAGTGAATCGGGAGGGGCCTGGGGGTGACCAAGGGAGGCCAAGGCAGATGCGAGGGGTCAGGGATGCACTGGGTGCGGAATAGGTGGAGCATTGGAAGTATGGGAGACAGTAGTCCCATGGGACTCAAGGATGAGGCGGTTCCCTTCGCTGACAAGAACCACGGCAGAGGCTGGGGCACTGAGGAGAGTTGAAATCAAGAAAAGTAAAGAAATGGTAGTTGAGTACTCACCTCTGGTGATGGTCATATCGGTGTCTCTGAGGGTCGTACTCGCCACCCACGTCTACCACGATGTCACAAGCAGCCAGTTTCTCGGGGTCTCGGGTCCGCACAATCTCTGCATCCTGCAGGGGACACAGGAGGTGAGGGGGCTGTCAGGGTCGCACGGGTAGGGATTTAATGTTGGGCTTCCAAGGAGCAGAGGAGAGGAGAGGGGTGCTCGGGCGGGACACCTTCAGGAAGACGCGGTCCACCCCGATTTGGCGGCAGCCCTCGGGTCAGTTTGCGCGGCTTGTACCTACCCGGTACTCCGGCAGGAGGCGCAGCAACGCGCACGCCAGCGCCTCATCGCAGTGGAAGGTGCCGTTGTGTGTCCCGATTCGGGGCGGAGCCATGAGGTGGCTGCGGGGTCGTTTGGAAGGTGAGACGGGCTCCAGGTTGAGCTTAAGATGCGGGCTCCGGCGGGGTGGCGGCAGCAACAATACAGGCAGGAAACCGCGCAGGAAGCGGTGGCCCATGCAGCTTTCTCCACGAGGAGCCAGTAAGGGCGCCGACCCGGAAGGGGAAGGGCCCGCGCAGCCCCACTTCCGGTTTCCAGCTGTTCCTATGGCAACGGGCCGCGTAGAAAGAACAGCCCGCCCAGCGTTGATTCCAGTTCCTGGCAGATTCCCAAGTGCAGCCCCGAAGATGAGCACTGCTTCACTCCTGCTTATCAGGCTCCAGGCAGGGGCACACCCTCTCACCACCGCCCTCCCACCTCAAAACCAGTCCCTTGCCTAATGCAAGAAAAGACGACCACTCTGCCCAGCTGGCTCATTTATTAGCATTAAACATAGACCCTCTTCTTCCCCCACTCCAGGAAACCACGTCCACAAAGTCCCAGGGCCCAGAAGCAGGCACCCTCTGCCCCATTTCTGAAACAAGCTCTCAGGCCTTGGCGGTAGCCTGAGCTGCTCCCAGGGTTGTGAGCTGCTGAATCTTCTGGCTCATCATCTCCATGACAGCTGTGGAATAAAAGAAGCGTCAGACCCTGGGCAGGAGCTGAAGGGGAGAGCCCAGAGTTAAGGAAAATTGACAGGTAGACTACTACAGTTAATTAACTTTCAACACAGAGATTCACTATAGAGGGCAAACACAACACCAATTTAGAATCTAAATTGTCAATAATATGAGATGTGAAAGTTGCTCAGTCGTGTCTGACTCTTGGCGACCCCATGGACGAGAGCCTACCAGGCTCCTCTGTCCATGGGGATTCTCCAGACAAGAATACTGGAGTGGGTTGCCATTTCCTTCTTCAAGGGCTTTTCCCAACCCAGGGATCGAACCCAGGTCTCCCATATTGCAGGTGGATTCTTTGCCGTCTGAGCCACCAGGGAAGCGCATATGAGAATATGAGAACCACTGGGATATAAAAACGAACAAAATACAGTTTCAGATGAGTCAGATATACCCAGAAAATAACAATGTGGAAAAGATGTTTGCCTTTAGAACACTGGTTCTTAATCCTGACTGTATATCACACAGGGAGCTTTAAAAAAAAAAACACTGTTCTCTGAAATCTCACCCTACTGATTCATAGTGATCCTTGAACAATACCCATTTGAACTGTGTGGGTCCACTTACATGTTTTTTTTCCCCCAATACTATAGTACTACATGATCTACAATTGGCTGAGTCTGCAAACTTGAAACAGAGGATACAGAGGGGCAGACTATAAATTATATGCAGATTTTCTTCTACTTCACTAAGGTCTAGCACTCCTAACTCCCACAGTGTTCAAGGGTCAACTGTAGTTGGTTTGGAGTGGTCCAGGTTTTCTTTTTAAACTATCTGGGTGATTCTAATATGTAGCCAGGGCTACAACTGCTAGTAGTTGGCTAGTTATGGCTACATTTCTTTACTGTGTGTTCATTTACGTGCACCTGCTCCCTCATTCCATCCCCATTAAATAGGAACTCAAACACAAAAACACATGATTTCCTTTCTCTAAATTTCTCAAGCACCAAAGGCAGTGGGTATGTTAGACACAGAATCTAAGGAGTAATGCATCAAGATACCATGGTTTTAATCCAGCAAAGGGGATACTCCCTCCCATGGTTCATACTGCAATCCATGTTTGTTATTATGGAAGTAAAAAGGGTCTGAAGAGGTGTCCAAGGCCAAGCTTACCCTGTTTCATGGCATGCTTCTCCTGAAGAGCTGGCTGGATTTTTTCCATTTGCTTGGTAAGGAAGTCTATCTTCCTCTTGAAGAAGTCCTTGGCATCCTCAGCTGTCTGCAAGGTCAGAGTGAATGAGAGGTAACCCATTCTGCATGCTAGCTCTCTCCCTCAGAGATGTATTCTTATGTTCCCTTCCACTCACCTTCTCTACATAGTAGCCAGTTCCCACATCGATAAGCACATGTTCCACATCATGTAGCTTCCCGGGGACATACATCTGAGAAGCAAGGATTAAGGGAAAACCAGCAGCAGCAGCAGCCCAGTATGAGTCATGATTCCTTGTCAGCTAGTTCAGCTTGACCTCCCAACACCCTCCTTTTCTAAAAAGGAGGCAGGAATTCCCTGGAGGTCTAGTGGCTAGGAGTCACTGTTTTCGCTGCTGGGGCTTGGGTTCAATCCCTGGTAGGGGAATCCCACAAGCCATGGGACGGAGTGGGGAAAAAAAAAATTAAAAGAAATAAGCTACAAGGCACATCTGAAGGCCTACAAACTCCACGTAAGGAGAGACAGGGAAGTTGGTTCCTTATGGAGAAAAATCACATATGCTGATTTTGCTCTGATCCCATCTGCATCCTGCAAGCAGTTCTTAGAATTCTTACCATTATTCCTTCCAGAAAGACTAGATATTAGAGCAATTAGAATGACAGATAGATCATTAGAATGACAGAACAACAATGATTTTTTCCCGCTGCTGTTGAGTAACAGAGTGAAAAGCCAGCCTCACTTTCTCTTTAACACTTCCAAACATGAATGAGCTAATTCCTTACGGATTTAATGTTGATTATTTAAGTAATCCCTACTAGGCTGCTATTCCTGTGTTTCCTTTTCAGCCTGTCCATTCTCAGGTAGTTTATGGGTGCCCTATTGCCATAACTTGCTCACTCGCGTAAAACATTCAACAGGTAAGACACAATCTAGGTTTCTTAGTAACAACAGTTAGGAATAAGAGCCATAATTACTGAAATCGAGGATTAATAAACAGAATCAACCCCTTTGTTTCCATATCCTCTATTCTTCTATTGCTTATGTTTTCTAAGTTATAGTAAAAACATAAACCACCAGTTCTACAGCAAAGGGAAATAATCACACCTCAATTCTAAATACATATACCTGGGTACTCAAGAAGCACTAGTTAGATGCTGGCCTTAGGTTAGACAGCAGAACTAAGCTTGTGTTAATAGCAGTCTCAAAATCATCTAGGCACTCTGGAATAATCAAAATCTCCCGCCCCTTTTTGAAGGTTAGGTGTGAGGAAGAAAACGAGAGGGCAGGGAAGAGGTTCCTGCGGAAAGGATACAGAACTCGTCAGTGGGACAAGTAATTCTTTCCCTGTGAAAGCAATTAAGACAAACATGTGGGGAAGGTTGGCAGCTCCAACTTTTAGACGTTAAAGGGAGTTTCAAAACGGCACGGCGCCCAAAAACTATATGAAAAGGACGAAAATAGGGGCAACAGGAACAGAAAAATGTCCTGGACATTTCAACTCTAGATAAGCAACATGCAAAGGGCTCCTGCAGCGGTATACAATACGTAATGGACTGCTCTCTCGTCTCAGGTAAGAAAAGTGGATTAGGAGGCGGGAAGAGAAGCCGGCAGGCCACATCTCCCAGGTTCCCTTCGCACGCCTACCCCGTACCCTCGTTGTTTTTCTTCAACACGTTCAGACAGTCCTTGGCTTCCACATACTTGGTCTGAACCACCTTGAGCTGGGCAATGGATGTGGACAAGAACTCCACTTCCTACAGAGAACAGGAACGAGAGTCAGGGTCGGGGCTCGCGGGAGAAGCAGCCACCGCTAGAGAAGGGGCGGGTCCTGGGACGGGGTGGGGGTTTCGCCTGGGAATGGAATTCTCCCCAAGAGGGGAGGAATGGGGGGCAAGAGAGTACGCGTTGAGGGGGAAGGAAAGTGAGGCGGGAAAGGGGTGTTTTAGGAGCCCATCCCCACCTGGTCCAGCTGGTTCTTGAGCATTTCTAGCTGCGGCAAATTCAGCTCGGTGATGTTAACCGACTGCGCCATGTTGAGAAGGAGGGCTTATGAAGCGGAAACCCGCCGGGTGAGCAACGCTCTAGCCGTCCTCTGCGTATCTCGATGGCTACGCCTGGAGGCCTCGCAGCGCTAGACATCTCTATGGTTCTTCAACCCAGAAGAGAGGGAAGCTCGCGGCGGGGCGGGGCGTACGGATTCTTCTGCGTGACTCCCGTTGGAATAGGAAGGGTTGCGGCGTTTTCTTTTCACAAAATATCCCAAGCCTCGCATAATCAAGTTCTAACGAACAGGATTCTTATGCTCAAGAAACTTAATCTTAACTCAGGCCTTGGGACTTACCTTGTGGTCCAGTGGTTAAGAATCCGCCTGCCAATGCAAGGGAAACGGGTTCCATCCCTGGTGCGGGAAGATCCTACATGCCAAGGATCAACAAAGCCCCTTGTGCAGCAATTGCTGAGTACAGCCCCCGCAAGGGGCAGCTACTGAAGCCTGGGCGCCTATAGCCTGTGCTCTGCAACAAGAGAAGCCACCGAAATAAGCCCACACATCCACTATGAAGTGTAACCCCACTCCCTGCCACTAGAGAAAACCCGCGCAGCAATGAAAACCCAGCACAGACGCACAGATACACCATAACCACAGGGTGGTATAAACCTTGTGATAACAGGCAAGGAAGAAGCCTGGGGAGTTCAAGGAGAAAGGGACAGGGGGGACAGTAGCATTATGAAAGGGATGCTTCGCGCAAATGAAGCTAGAGTGGGGGTTGAGAGAACAGGAAGGAGGCACATTATCAACCAGAGTAAAGCAGTAACTTTATTAATCAACAGTGTTTTACCATGTGCTAGAAGTGAAGGATACTCGAGTGTAAGATACATAGCTCTGAGCTTAACAATCTAGTTGGGGAGAGGAAAACCATACATAAGTAGCAAAACTTCCCAATATGTACGTGTGTGTGTGTGTGTGTGTGTGTTGTTCAGTCGTGTCCAACTCTGCGATGCCATGGACTGTAGCCCGCTAGGCTCCTCCAGGCAAGAATACTGAAGTGGGTTGCCATTTCCTTCTCTGGGGGAATCTTCCAGACCCAGGGATTGAATCCAGGTCTCCTGCATTGCAGGCAGATTCTTTACCGTCTGAGCTACAAAAACTCCCCAGAACCTGCTGCTAAAGTGCATGGCACTGACAATTGTAATAGCTGAATATGGGGGAAGGACAATATCCACTTAGGAGAGGGCAGGGCAACTAAGGCAGTAAAGCTAATGTCATTCCCAGGATCCCAGAGGCAGGAAGTCAAGATAGATATGAGTGTACCTGGCCAAGACATTCTCAATGGATCTATCTCTACCTTTCCTTGGGGCTTTGTCCCCACTTAGATCATTTTGATGCCCAGCTCTCCTTTAGCTTTGTCTGCTGAGGCCAAGCCAGGTCCATCTTTTTCCTGTGGCTTGCCTTTCTTCCCAATGCTCTCAGACTTGGACTCTTGCAAGTTATTCTTATCTATAGTACCACATAGTGGGAAGTCGGCAACAGTCTTATCTTCAAATGTTCTCAGAGAAACTACACAAAACAGGATTTTAAGTAATGTATCTTTATTATATTAAAATTAAATCAAAAGGAAATCTTTCATGTAAAACACTGGGGAAAATCACGTAAAATATTTATCTTCAGGGCCAAACCTAAGTTTGGAGGTAGAATAGTCACATAGCTTCTATCAGCAACAGGAGAGCTCCAAGGGGTCACCGCAGGGAGACAGGCAAGCCATAGGCTACAGGTGCAGCCCCAATAAGGTACTTGAGTCGGGGAGCCTGGCGGGCCTGGCTGACATAGTACAGAAGGGGGGCTCCTGAACCTGCTCTAAGCCAGCCCTGCAACAGAGCCTCTGTGTAGCGGTCAATGTCACGATCAGTCACATCCCAGAGGTTACCTAAGAACAGGGGGCTGGGAAAAGAGAAGGAAGAAATACAAAGTAAGGGCTCAAAAACAGAACCGAGGGCAGCATGATTGGTGGTGGTGAATGAGTTGAGAGGGATTAAACCAATGACAAAGTCCCTTGGCCCATAGTTCCAGGAGGAAGAGACGATGAAAAAGGGGTAAAGGCCCAGGCATGCCAGGGAACTAGGATGGGAGGAAAATGGGGCACAAAAGAGCAAGGATTTAGGTTTCAGACCTGGGAAAGCACTTGGGGTGGGGACCTTGAATAGACTTTGCCTCTCGAGACTCACCAGCCAGCCATGATATACTTGAGCACGATGCCAGCCCCCTCCAGGTTTCCGTGCACAGCCAGGGCCGCACTGCTGCAGCCGAAGAGCAGGGCCACTGCCCGGCAGCTCAGCCGCAGGACAGCCTGCCCGTCCAGGAAGCGGGCGCCGGCGCCATGCCCTGCATAGCTGAGGCAGAAGGAGATGCGATGGAACTGACCTCGCAGGGCCAGGCCTCTGCACTGCCTCCAGAGTTGTCCAGAGTCAGCCAGGGGCTCCAAAGCCCCAGAGCAGACCATGATGATACCCACCCTCTGGGACTGCCCCTCTCCCCACCACCCTGCCCTGAGCACTCACATGTACAAGTCACGCTCCGTCAGGGCCGCCTGCACCTGTTCCGGGCTCGGCACCTCCCCAACCACCCCTTTCCAGCCAGCTTCACTGCAGGGAAAAGACAGTGAGAAGGGACTTGGCTGGAGGTACAGTGGTTAAGACTGCATTCTCAGTGCAGGGGGCGGGGGATCGATCCCTTGTCGGGGAGCTAAGATCCCACACGCTGTGTGGTGCAGCCAGAGTAAGATGGGTCATGTGGCCAAAAGGGCAGAAGGGACACTAGGAAGGAGGTGGGCTGCAACATTTGATTCTAGAGGAAAGGACATTTACCCCTGTGTTGTGTCTACCCTTCCCCACCACCCTTCTTTTTTTTTCCCCCCACCGCCCTTCTTGCTCTTCTCCCCCTGACCTGCTAAAATGGGCTCGGAATTGGTCCTCTGTGCTTGACAGGTTATTGTGAGGGTTCAGGACATAGAAGGTACTACGAGGATCCACTCCTTGGCTCAGCACTGATGAGGCCCCGGACTGATGGAGAGACACCGGTGATCAGTGTCCCAGTTTGGTCAGAGCACCCAAGCTCCAACCAACCCAAGTCCCTTTCCATTCTTAAGACCGCCTTCCTCTCTTGCCACGTCTCTCTGCCTTTTCTTGTCCAATTACCCATCACCCCCACCTTCCATTCCCTGAACCCCACACCTCTTTGATGATGGAGTAGCTGAGCAGGAATCGGAAGGAGGGCAGCCGAGTGACAGGCAGGGCCCGTAGGCTGGGCATGCTCTCCCACGGCAGCTTCTGTAGGTCCTGGGCAAAAAGCACTCAGACGTTACTGTCCTGAGGCAGGGGTATGCAGGAGGCAGAAGGAGCATGGTTGAGAGGAGGTGCCCACTGCCCACCAGATGCTACCCATGTGGCCCCTGGCTCTTTACCTTGTCCAGCACTAACACGAGATGCCTACTGCTTGTTGCCATCTGACCTTGGAGACGCCCTACTGCCTCACCCAGGAGCTCTTGGGCTCGGGCTGGCCGGGCTGGGCACAGCCCATAAGCCAGGGCCTGCACGTCCTGCGGGGTGAGGGTACTGGCACTGCTGAGCATGATCTGCAGGGGAGCAGTGGTCAGTGAGTACAAGAGCTCCCCTCTCCCCCACAGTGGCAGGTGGGAAAGAGGTAAGGCTAGCTTCATCCTCTTCCCTGATTTTTCAACTCACTCTCAGCAGAGTGGGGTCAGGATATTTCCAGCCACATTCCTGTAGTGACTCTTGTAGATGGGAGGCCTCCTGGACAAGGCTGGGGTCCTCACTGGATGGCAGCAACAGCCCCCGCCAGCAGCCCAGCACGTCCTTCTCTAGGGAAGTGGTGAGAACCTGGATGCAGAACAGAACCATCAGTGAGAGAGGAAGCCAAGTTTCTTTCCCCACAGGCACCATTTTGGAGACAAGGAAATGGGTCTTCCAATGAGTGGATGTGTCTTATTTATCTTACGACCAACATAAAATGCAAGAGAGGAACATTTTTCATTTGCTGAGACTCTAAGGGAGTATTGATAAGATTTGTAATAAATCACTACATTTGGATAAATACAAACAGGTGGGCAAAAGCTAAGCCAGGAAATGAAATGAAAACTATGGCTGGGAGTCTGATGTGCTGTTGTGTTTAGTTGCTCAGATGTGTCCAACTCTTTGAGACCCCATGTTCTGCAGCCTGCCAGGCTCCTCTGTCCATGGGGATTCTCCAGGCAAGAATACTGGAGTGGGTTGCCATGCCCTCCTCTGGGGAATCTTCCCAAACCAGGGATCAGACCCAGGTCTCCTGCATTGCAGGCAGATTCTTTACTGTCTTAGCCACCACCAGGGAAGGCCAAGAATATAGGAGTGGGTGGCCTATCCCTTCTCCAGGTGGTCTTCCTGACCCAGGAATGGAACTGGGGTCTCCTGCATTGCAGGCAGATTCTTCACCAGCTGAGCTACCTGGGAAGCCCTGGGAGGCTGATATTTGGCATTAAATTATTTTTCTTTTTTTTTTTAGTTCTACCACTTTATTGCTACCAACTCATCTCCCTCCACCCTCGTGCACATATGCTCAGTCATGTAATCCCATGGACTGCAGCCCACCAGGCTCTTCTGTCCATTGACTTTTCCAGGCAAGAATACTGGAGTGGGTTGCCATTTCCTTCTCCAAGTGGCCTTAAATTCTTATTTTGTACTTATCTTTAAACATTTCATTGCTATAACCCCTTCAAGTCTCGGGCTCTTATTTGGTTTTTGTTTTATTGTTTGTTTTTTTTGCCACACCACATGTATGTGGAAGTGGTCTTAGTTCCCAGACCAGGGATTGAATCAGTACCCCTTACGCTCTTGTTTAAAGTGCTTCCCAAGTAACCCAATTTTTATTTAGGCCTACACTTCCAGAAACAACAGTTAGAACTGGACATGGAAAAATGGACTGGTTCAAACTTGGGAAAGGAGTATGACACGGCTGTATACTGTCACTCTGCTTATTTAACT